TTGACGGGCCGCTCGCGCGCCTGCGGTTGTGCACGCCGGCCGGCTGAGACAGGCCCCCCCTCTTCCGCACTCTCTCCTCGGCCTCGCTTTCGTGCGCCTTGCCCTGCTCATCCTGCTCCGTGCCCCTTCTTCTTTCTCCATCTTCCACACATCCAGCCTCAATTCCACCCACTCCCCCCTCCACACCTCGTTTCCTTCCCCCTCCTCCTCCTCCTCCTCCTCCTCCTCCTCCTCCTCCTCCTCCTCCTCCTCCTTTTACTCCAACTCCTCCAGGTCCTCAAACTCCTCCTCTTCCTCCTCCTCCTCCTATTCCTCCTATTCTTCTTATTCCTCCCATTCCTCCTATTCCTCCTCCTCCTCCTCCTCCTCCTCTTCCTGGCGCGTGGCCACGAACGCGGATGTCCTCAGCTGGACGTGCACGCCGCGTGGCGGTGAGCCACCTTCACCTGTGGCAGCAGTGACTCAACGGCGGCTTGAGGCAGTAAAACCCTGTCATGCAGCAGGGATCGGAGATATCTGTCAAGCGTGAGCGAGGCAGCAGGCATCAGCAGAGGGTTTGAGGGGCCGAGGAAAACGAAACGGGAGAACACACGCGGGGGGAACTCAAGCGAAACCACATCCGAACATGGGGGAGGAAATGAGGACAACGCAACTAGTGCGCGCGCTGAGACTGCCTGAGGAGTGCGGGCAGCGGCGACACGGCGCGACCGAGCATCGCACTTAAGGCGCGGGGCCGGCCACGAAGCCCCTGCCGATTGCGGCCCATAAAAAACTCTGGAGCCTGTGTTAGCGCCCATAAACAACTCTGGAGCCTGTTAGCGCAGTGCGAACATATGCGCACGCGGAGGGAGGTAATGTTGTGGGCCGCGCGCAAGTTCTGACGAAATCCATAGGACCCTGGCTCGCGACACTGGGGATTGTTATAGCGTAGCCGCGCGGAAGGCGCAATTGCTGGGGGCGGTCCGTCCGCAGAGCTGTCACTCACAGGGCGCGCCCGAGCTTCAGCCCAGTTACACAGGCCTACCGCGGGACGCACGCCGCCCCATGCGCGAGTTCTGTGGAAACAAACAATCGGCATTGCCGCTGTTCCCGCGCCGTCTGTGCGACCGGGACTTTCCACGCGCACTTGCTTCATGCAGCGAGTGGCCAAGGCGCGCCACGGTTGGCCCGAGTAAGAAGTAGCCCTTCTACTTGACAGAGCAAGCTGCAGGCACGGGCCCCGTGAGGCCGCAAGCGTGGCGGCTCTGCACGGAAGCCTTTTGCGACCATCCCAAGCTAGAACCGCCAATCTCTCGCTGCAACCAGGTCCGGAATTCCGCGATCGATCTCCGCTGGCGTGCGCGGTGTAAACAATTGGGCTATACAGCGCTGTACGATATCGAAGATAAGCCCTGCCACTCGCGCCGCTGCGCAGAAGACGACCGCGCGCATCTCAAATGCCGCGATCTGAGAGATGCAGACGCCAAGGTTGTCGGAGCATTCTCGGACTATGCCGTGGGAGTGGCCCTCGACTGCGGCTGGAAAGTGGCGCGGGAACGGATGCGACGACATGGCGTAGAGGGCTCCAGGCGCAAGGCGCCCTAGAATGATGCCTGCCGGTAAAACAAAGGATCCGTCTGCGCGTCCGAGAACTGCCCCATGCAAATTACGCAGTCATATACAAGACGGGGGACAACGAATAAACGGGGGGGGGGGAGAGAGAGAGAGAGAGAGAGAGAGAGAGAGAGAGAGAGAGAGAGAGAGAGAGAGAGAGGCAGCCCGAGTCACGCAAGGCCAACTCCCGCAATGCCGAAGGGGAACTCCTGTCCGGCATCAAAACAAACCAAGAGGGACTGCCTCCCGCCCTGGGCTTCATGCGCGTGGACGCAGACGGCGTCGGGGATTGGGGCCTTGGAGCCGAGCTGCCCAGGTCTGCGACGCCTGACGACCAATCTACTCTTCAGCTTGATCTTCCACCTCCACCTGGATCCAGACACCATCGAGGTTGCCGAGGGCGCGAGGCACTGGGCGCCCCTGCGGAGCGCCAGCGGAAGACAGTTTCCAAGCGTCTCGCGGCCGACGGGCGTCGAACACCACGTCCACTGCGGTAGACGTCGGACCCGGGAGCGGTCCGAGGGGCGCGTGTAAGATTGATTCAGCGCCAGGCATAAGAAGATCTGCCAGGCCGCCAGCAGGAGCAAATCAAGAGCGGCCGCGCTCTCTGCAACGGCTGCGCCGACCTCTTGCGCGCGAGAAACACGGGCCCAGGCGTCGCCGAGACCGTCGCGCGTCCTCTGCGTCGGCAGCGGTGGCGCCTTGAATTTCCAATCCCTGAATCAGCTGGAGGCAGCATGCCCGATCTATCCTTACCCAAAGCTCCCCTTCGAAGCTCGGGTCGAATCTGCAACGCCGGCAGCCCTGACATATCAGCGTGGGCTTGCGCGCAGGCTGACGCATTCAGCGATGCGTTGAGCTGATGGCCAACGCCAGAGACTCTTCGGGCCCCGCGGGCTTGGCGATCTGCCTGGAGGGGTCGACGCCGCGGGGGCGGCGGCTGAGTTCGCGGGCGAGCTGAAGACGGGGGGGGCGAGGGTGATATCCAGATTCCTCGATCGACCGATGTCGTGATCATCCATTTTGTCATCGCCGACGTCGGGCTCTCCAGTTTGGCGGCATCTCTGGCGCGGCTTCTCTCGCGGCGAGCCCCTGGAACCCCGGGGGCAGCGGCGCGCCCCGCGGGGGGCGCCCGCCGGCTCAAAAACAGACCCGACTTGCGGAGGACGACGAATAAACGGGGCGGTGGAGAGAGAGGCAGCCCAGGTCACGGAAGGCCAACTCCTGCAATGCCGAGGGGGAACTCCTGTCGGGCATAAAGACCAACCAGGAGGGGCTGCCTACATCGTTGGGCTTCGCGCCCGCGGGCGCAGACGGCGTCGGGGATTGGGGGCTTGGGGCCGAGTTGCCCAGGTCTGCGACGCCTGACAACCACCCATCAATTCTTCAGCTTGATATTCCACCTTCTTCTGGATCCAGACACCATCGAGGTTGCTGAAGGCGCGCGGCACTGGGCGCCCCTGCGGGGCGCCAGCGAAAGACATGTGCCAGGGGCCTCGCAGCCGAAGGGCGTCAAACGCCACGCCCGACGAGGTAGACGCCAGACCTGGGAGCTTTCCGAGGGGCGCGTTTAAGCCGACGTTGGATGTATCCAACGCCAAGCGTAATAAGATCTGCCAGGCCGCCAGCAGGAGCAAATCAAGAACGGTCGCGCTCTCTGCAGTGGCTGCGCCGACCTCTTGCGCGCGAAAAACACGGGACTAAGCGTTGCCAAGACCGTCTCGCGCCCTCTGCGTCGGCAACGGTGGCGCCCTGAACTTCCTATTCCTGGAGGCAACATGCCCGATCTATCCTTATCCAAAGCTCTCCATCGACGTTCACGTCCACGGGCCCCCCTTCGAAGCCCGGCTCGAAGCTGCGACGCGGAAAGCCCCGACATCTCAGCCCGGGTTCGTGCGCAGACTGGCGCGTGCAGGGATGCGTTGAGCTCGTGGCCAACGCCAGAAACTCTTCGGGCCCCGCGGGCTTGGCGATCTGCCTGACGGGGTCGACGCCGCGGGGGCGGCCGGGAGGCGAGGATGATACCCAGATCCCTCGTTCGATCGATTTGGTGATCATCCATTTTGTCATCACCGACGTCGGGCTCTTCAGCGCGACAACAACACTGGCGCGGCCCCTTTCGCAGCGAGCCCCTGGAACTCCAGACGCAGCGACGTGCCCGGGTAGGGGGGCGCCCGCCTGTTCAACAGCAGACTCGGCGGCATCGCCGCGCTCCGCTCCCTGGCGCGCCAGAAGATGAGCGGGACACTCGGGAAGCATCGGGGGCCCCCTGGCCTTGGTGGCGACGACGATCGCAGAGTGGTCTGAGAGCTCCGCGCGGCGATTGGCCTCGGGGCCTTCAATCGCGCGGCATCGCGCGACAAACGCGCGGGGGCCAACCGCGCGGGGTGGGCGCTGAAAATCTGGTCGGTCGCCGGCAACGATTTCTCCGACTCGCAATCATGCGTCGGCTCGGGCACCTCAAGCTCCACCAGCACACTGCCGACGGATCTTCTATCGGCCCCACCATTCCAACGCCGTTTCAGGATGGGCGCGGCCCGCCACCGAAACGCGAGCTCCGAAGGGCCCGCCAAGGATGAACTTTCAGGAACTAGTGGGGCTCCCGCTAAATTGACCCTTCCTGGGTGAAAGCGAAATAGCCCACGGGATCTCGGCGAACGACCAGATGTCTTCCAGGATGCGCTGGAGCGCTCCCGGAGTTGCGAATGCTATAATTCATGACCTGGAACTCTCCTCGAACTTGATGGGGAAACTGAGGGGCCGACGTATGACAAGGGGCTCGCGGTTGACCTGGAGGGGGGATAGGGGGGAGACGCTCGAGGAAGCTGAAGCCAGGGAAGACAGCGAGGGCGCATCCAGCAAAGTGCGGGAACGGCCGGATGAAAGATGAGACTACTAGGTGAACTTGGCGGTGGCGACGCACGCAGTCTCGCAGCTCGTGCTCGGCACCGCGCGTCTCCTGAGCGCCATGCAGTGGCCCAGGGAGGAAGAGGCGGTCGAGGCAGGCGGGTTTCCCTGATCGGGTCGTGAGCTCGTGGTGGAAGAGTCAAAGAGCATGCCAACTGCTCAGGGTCGACGGCAACTGCTTGCCAGACCGATCGGCCCAGGGTTTTCACCGCGTGCTAAAGATTCCACTGGGGCGCGGCCGGGGCCTGCCGCCGCGCGGGAGACGAGCGGTTCGATCAGCTGGAAATCGCCGCCAATCTTCCGCGACGCAGCACGGTCCCACTCGAACTTGGCGGGAAGTCCTTTACGAGCCGCGAGCTTGCATACTGGCGACCGCTGGTAAGCTTGATCTCCTCGATCCTCCTTGATGAACTTGCCGCGACTCGGCACCCCCATCCTGGATGGCCTTCCTGGCCCACATGAGTGCGAGCTCCTTCCGAATCTGAGACGGGTTCTTGTCCTCCGCCACGTGTAGGTCCTCGGGCAAGTCCTGTGCGTCCTCGACCACGATGCGCCCCCACTCCCTGTTGGCGATCTTGAGCGCACCAATTGGTGCGTTGACTCTGCGCGCCGCGATGGTCGGCATGCCTCTAATGAATCGCGAAACCCCTTGGCCGCCTAGTCCCCATCAGTTGCGTAAAACTGCTCCGCCAAATTGCCTCTTGCGATCCACGTTGCAACTGCGGCCTTTACCTTACACTAAGGCACCAACGTCGCCGATGGACAGGTCGGTCTCTCTCTCTCTTTCTCTCTTTCTCTCCCTCGCCCTCCCTCTCTCACTCTCTCTCTCTCTCTCAACACCCTGTGACGACAGCGCATCCACTGGCGACTTCTCGTTGGTGAAGAGCGCCCGCTGCTTCTCAAAGTGATCGATGCGCTGGTCGTGGGCCTCGATCTGTTTCGCATTGTCGTTGCACCGGGCTCCAACGCAGTGGCTCTGAACTGCACTTGTCTTGACCGCGATGGGACTGATATGCGCGCTGTGGTTGCCAGCCCTGCGAAGCTCTCTAGGGACGATGGCAGCCAGCACGTGTGCCGTGGTGCTGTCCACGTAGCCCTTGATGTCGAACTCCGACTAGCCTGCGCCAGGCTGCTGTCCTGCAGCACGTGGACCTTCGGCGGGCTGTCCGCCAGCTGCCCGATGATGGCGAGCACGATGCCCACCATTAGCACGGCCCCCTGGCCCCCTGATGGCGGGTATCCTTCCTGCTCTTGCCCTCGTCACTAAGTGGAATTCGTCCCCATCCGCAAGGACATTCGGCGAGCGGCTCCTGTGACCCTAAGACTTGGGGGTGTCGGGAAGCGTGGGTACTCCGCAGCCGCAGTGAGTATCGCCTTCTTTTTCTCATCCATTGGCGCACCCATCTTACGCACGCTACGCTGGTAGCGGCATCCAAAACATGGTTTTTGGGAACAACCAGAACGCGCCTCGTTGTGGAAGAAACCGGAATGAGCTCGGGCCAGCCACTCGCCGACGAATCAAGCTCAAGCCGGGGGGCGATGAATCCAGCTTGAGCCAAAATGGCAGCGTGTCACCCGCCTCCTTCTCTTCCTCCTCCTCCTCCTCCTCCTCCTCCTCCCCTCCTTCCCCTATCTCGAAATATTCCCTCTTCCACTCGTACCTGTCTCACCCCTCCCCCTCCCCCTCCGATCCCACCAGTCTTCTGAGCGTGTGAATGGTCTACCGTATTCGTGTTTCTCCCTCCGGGGAGGGGAAGGGGCTCTTTCCCCTTTCCCCTCCTCCCTCCCCCCAGGTCTGGAAAGGGGCCTTCCGCGAGGGGCTGGGGCGTCCAACGCGGCCCAGGATGGCTCCAAGAGGGCTCCAGACAGCTCAAGCTGGCCTCCAGGATTGCTCCAGGCAGCCCAACATGCTATCCTCGCCGCCCTCTGCGACGCATTGCCCTTTGAGATCGGCGTCGGCGTCGCCCTCGGCGTCCGCGCCGTCCGCCCGGCGCCGCGCCTCCACCGAAGGCCCAAGTGGGGGGGGGCCACATGCGTCCCCCACGCCCAGAACAGCGTTTCGTGGCCCCACAGGGAGCTCCACCGAAAACCCCAGTGGGGGGGGCCACATGCGTCCCCCACGCCCAGGACAGCGCTTCGTGGCCCCATAGGGAGCTCCACCGAAGGCCCCAGTGGGGGGGGCCACATGCGTCCCCACGCCCAGGACAGCGTTTCGTCGCCCCATAGGGAGCTCCACGGAAGGCCCCAGGGGGGGGGGGGGGGGGGGGGCACATGCGTCCCCCACGCCCAGAACAGCGCTTCGTGGCCCCATAGGGAGCTCCACCGAAGGCCCCGGTGGGGGGGGGGGTACATGAGCCCCCCACGCCCAGGACAGCATTTCGTGGCCCCAAAGGGAGCTCAACCGAAGGCCCCAGAGGGGGGTGCCACATGCGTCCCCCACGCCCAGAACAGCGTTTCGTGGCCCCATAGGGAGCTCCACCGAAGGCCCAAGTGGGGGGGGCCGCATGCGTCCCCCACGCCCAGGACAGCGTTTCGTGGCCCCATAGGGAGCTCCACCGTGGGGGGGGCCGCATGCGTCTCCCCCACCCAGGACAGCGTTTCGTAGCCCCATAAGGAGCCCCACCGAAGTCCCAGTGGCACAGTTCGCAGGCGTCTCTCCCACGCAGGACAGCGTTTCTTGGCCCATAGAGAGTGCCACCGAATGCGATACTCACAACGACGGTATTCACAACTGCATATGGTTGGGTCCTTCGCCAGGCGAATTAAACCGAATGCGCGCGGCGCTAAAACGATAACCACATTTTGAAAACGACCCACCCTCCATCTGTGAAGCTGTTGCCACTTCAAGCTTCAGGATGATAAATGGTGAGGAAGGAAGTCTCAGAGTTAGAGTTATCTATAAGGAGAAGGAATGGAGAAGGACGAGGAGAGAGCGGCGACAACCCCCGATGATCTCCTCTCTTCCCCAGCCCCCTCCTTTCCGATCCCCTGGCTCCTCCCTTCCTGTCACGTCTCGTCCTGTCCTGTTCCCTTCCCTCCTCCCCTCCCCTGACCCCCTCTGTTTCTACTCTGCTCGTTCCTGACGTACCTCGTTCCCCATCCACCTCCCCCCGTCCCCTGATCCGCCTTCTCCCGCCGATGTGAGCTGTTCATGCTACCATCCGTCTCCTCTATCGCACCCGCACGAGCACGGAAAAGCTGCGCCAACTGAGAAGGAAGAGTGGTCCGATGAGAACAAAGAGGCTGTCGCTGTGGACCGCAGTGCCGAGGCACCAGAACGGATGACATCGAGACGTGTCTGCTCTTCCAGGCGTGCTGCTCGAGCAGCGGCAGCGCGGATACTGCACCAGCCACTCAAGGAACGACTCTTCACGATCATCATCCCTCGCGCGGCTGAAACTCAAAAACATGCTTCGACAACTCTTGGTCGCTCAAATTCGGTGGACAACTCTTGGTCGCTCTAATTCCGTTGCGTATCCACCAGGCCCCGTTCGGAGCTTGCCTGGCGCCTGACATCAAGATCATACTTCGTACCATGGCAGGCCGCCAGGCCCGAAGGCCTTGTGAGCCCAGACAGGTGTCCAAGCGGACTGCTACCGCGGAAGGAGATGGTTGCACCACTAAGCAATTCAGTCGCATGCCCCCCATACGCGCAGCTCTTTGGATTGCCCTGCTCCCCCCTGCCGCGTCAATTGACAAAAAACGCTGCGCAAGAGAGACTCGTCGACTCGCAATGTCGTCGAATTGTAATGTCTCCACCGTGCCGGCGTCGTAATGACAGGTGAGGCGTTAGCAGACTGTCACTGATCGCTTGCCCAGTGGCCCAGACAGGCGACACAAATAAAGGTTCCCCCCCTGGCTCTAAACGTGCAGCAAAACCAACGAAAAAGATTGCCGCATGTGCATATGAACACTGTTTAACCGATTTGTATCCCCACTGGCGCGGCCTGGAGCCCACTGACTGATTCGCCCCCCTAGATGGTGATACCGGCTGTTCCTTCGGGTTACGAGGGGCAAATCCCCAACTGGGGTGGTGGGATGGTGGGGATCGAGATGGCGATTGGGATGAGGATGAGGATCGCCTAAACGACACTGGGTATAGCCAATAGGACGGATAGTTCGACGCCGTCTGCAAATCATCCTGGCGAAGGACCCAACTATATGCAGTTGTGAGTACCGCAATGGTGCGTATCCTCTTCGGTGGAGCTCCTTCTGGGGCCACGAAACACCTGAGGGGTGTGTCGAAATGGGTGGAGGGGATGTATGTGTTCACAGCCACTGGGGCTTTCGATGGAGCCCCCTATGGGGCCACGAAACGTATGAGGGATGTGCCGAAATCGGTGGCGGGGGCCCATGTGGAAACAGCCGCCAGGACCTTCGGTGAAGCTCTCAAGGGCCACGGAAAGTGTGAGGGCTGTGCCGAAATAGGTGGCGGGGACGAATGTGGTCACAACCACTGGGGCCTTCGGTGGGGCTCCGTATGGCCTGTGGGGCCACAAACCGTGCGAGGGCTGTGCCGAAATGAGTAGCGGGGGCGCATGTGGTTACAGCCCCTGGGGCCGCCGGAGAATCTCCCTTTGGGGCCACAAACCGAATGAGGGGTGTGCCGACATGGGTGGCGGGACGCACGTGGTCATAACAACTGGGGCCTTCGGTGGAGCTCCCTATGGCGCATAGGGCCACGAACCTTGTGAGCGATGTGCCGAAATTCGACGCGGGGACGCAAGTGGGTCACAGCCCCTGGGCCTTCGGTGGAGCTCCCTGTGGGGCCACAAAACGTGTGAAGGGTGTGCGCTTGTGAACACAACCTCTGGGGCCTTCAGTGGAGCTCCCTATGGAGCAACGAAACGTGTGAGATGTGTGCCGCCATGGGCGCGGGACGCTGTGAAGGCAGCCACGGGGTCTTCGGTGGAGCTCCCTGTGGGGCCACGAAGCGTGTGAAGGCTGTGCAGAAATGGGCGCGGGACACATGTGAACGCAACCACTGGGGCCTTCAGTGGAGCTCCCCATGGGGCGACGAACCGTGTGAGATGGGTGCCGAAATGGGCGCGGGACGCATGTGAACGCAACCTCTGGGGCCTTCGGTGGAACTCCCTATGGAGCCACGAGCCGTGCGAAGAGTGTGCCGAAATTGGCGCGGGACGCTGTGAAGGCAACCACGGGGGCCTTCGGAGGAGCTCCCGATGGGGCCACGAAGCGTGTGAGGACTGTGCCGAAATGGGCGCGGGACGCATGTGAACCCAACCAATGGGGCCTTCGGTGGAACTCCCTATGGGGCCACGAACCGTGTGAGATGGGTGCCGAAATGGGCGCGGGACGCATGTGAACGCAACCTCTGGGGCCTTCGGTGGAGCTCCCTATGGAGCCACGAGCCGTGCGAAGAGTGTGCCGAAATTGGCGCGGGACGCTGTGGAGGCAGCCACGGGGGCCTTCGGTGGAGCAACCTATGGAGCAACGAAACGTGCGAGACGTGTGCGGACATCGGCGCGGGACGCTGTGAAGGCAGCCACGGGGGCCTTCGGTGGAGCTCCCTATGGGGCCACAACGCGTGTGAGGACTGTGCCGAAATGGGCGCGGGACACGTGTGAACGCAACCGCGGGAGCCTTCGGTGGAGCTCCCTATGGAGACACGAACCGTGCGAAGAGTATGCCGAAATGGGTGCGGGACGCATGTGAACGCAACCTCTGAGGCCTTCAGTGGAGCTCCCCAAGAGACACGAGCCGTGCGAAGTGTGTGCCGACATGGGCGCGGGACGCTGTGAAGGCTGCCAAGGGGGCCTTCGGAGGAGCTCCCGATGGGGCCACGAAGCGGGTGAGGACTGTGCCGAAATGGGCGCGGGACACATATGAACGCATCCACTGGAGCCTTCGGTGGAGCTCCCGATGGGGACACGAACCGTGAGAGGTTGTGCCTAAATGGGCACGGGACGATTGTGAACTGATTCGCCCCCATAAATGGGGATACAGGCTGCTCCTTCGGGTTACGAGGGGCAAATCCCCAACTGGGGTGGTGGGATGGTGGGGATCGGGATGGCGATTGGGATGAGGATGAGGATCGCCTAAACGACACTGGGTATAGCCAATAGGACGGATAGTTCGACGCCGTCTGCAAATCATCCTGGCGAAGGACCCAACTATATGCAGTTGTGAGCACCGCATTGGTGCGTATCCTCTTCGGTGGAGCTCCTTCTGGGGCCACGAAACGTCTGAGGGGTGTGCCGAAATGGGTGGAGGGGATGTATGTGGTCACAGCCACTGGGGCCTTCGGTGGAGCTCCCTTTGGGGCCACGAAACGTGTGAGGGATGCGCCGAAATCGGTGGCGGGGACCCATGTGGAAACATCCACCAGGGCCTTCGGTGAATCTCTCTGGGGCCACGAAACGAAGGGCTATGCCGAAATAGGTGGCGGGGACGAATGTGGTCACAAGCACTGGGGCCTTCGGTGGGGCTCCCTATGGCCTGTGGGGCCACAAACCGGGTGAGGGACGATTGTGAACGCAACCATTTGGGCCGGCAGTGAGGGGCCACGAACTGTGTGAGGGGTGTGCCGAAATTGGCGCGGGACACGTGTGAACGCAACCACTGGGGCCTTCGGTGGAGCTCCCCAACAGACACGAACCGTGTGAGATGTGTGCCGAAATGGGCGCGAGAAGATTGTGAACGCAACCATTGGGGCCGGCGGTGAGGGGACACGAACTGTGTGAGGGGTGTGCCGAAATTGGCGCGGAACGCATGTGAACGCAGCCACTGGGGCCTTCGGTGGAGCTCCCTATGGGGCCACGAATCGTGTAAGGGCTGTGCCGACATGGGCGCCGCACACACGTGAACGCAACAACTGGGGCCTTCGGTGGAGCTCCCGATGGGACCACGAACCTTGAAGGGCTCTGCCGACATTGTGCGCAGGCGGAGAGCAGAGGCACGATGCTGACGATGGCGATGGTGATAATGTTGATGATGATGGAATTGGCGATGGTGATAATGATGGTGATGACGGTGATGACGATGATGATGCTGATGATGATGGTGATGATGGTTAGGATAATGTGATGACGATGATGGTGACGATGATGATGATGATGATGATGATGATGAGGATGATGATGTTGGTGACGACGACGACGATGATGAGGATGATGATGATGATAATGATGATGATGGTGGTGATGCTAATGATGGTGATGTTAATGATGATAATAGTGGTGATGATGATGGTGAAGATGATGAAGATGATGATGATGCTGTTGATGATGATGAGGAGGATTATGATGAGGAGGAGGAGGAGGAGGACTCGCGGAGGGCAGAGGCAGGGGTGGGAGGAGGGGGAGGGCAGCGGGAGGATGGGAGGAGGAATGGAGAACTGGAGAGAGGAATGAGGGGGAGGAGAGGAAGGAAGGAAGGAAGAAAGGACGGAAGGAAGGAAGGAGCGCAAGACACTCCTTCAAAACGAGGACCCTAATCACAGGATGGTTGGGACAAACTGTGAACGAAGTGCCGCCCCTCTGCAAAGACCAGACCCGACGCCACATGTTGCTGCGGGCAGAGCTGTAACATTTACGGCCGAACACCACGGAGAGGCCTGCTGCAAACTAGACGTCGATGCCCACCGCAAGGTCGCCGCGGACGCAATGACATAAACAACCACCACGAGCTCTCAAGGCGGCGCCCCCATTCCCTTTGCTCTCCTCTCCTCCGCGCCTTCCCGACACGACGCATTAATCCGCGCACAAAGGTACCCACTTGCGCCCTCACTTTGGGGGACGAATCGACCTGGAATCCGCGATACATCGCCGATCGATAAGCCCCCGATCGCGAATCCGCACGGTCCTAGGCAGGGGGGGCTAACAAGCCCCATCGGCGACCAATGGACAATTGGGGCTCGATGCATCCCATCCGTAAGCCTATCCCTCCCTAGCGTTGCTTCTGATATTCTCTCTGCGGAAGGACCCGCCCCGCATGGGTCCGTCAAGCTGGGCTCCTTTGCCACGCACCGCCCTCGCCACGTTGTCTTCTCGAGCCGCGCCCAGCCGTGGACGCGCGATGTCCCCCGTCCCGAGTGCCAAGCAGGCAATGGATACCAAGGGGGGGTGGACGACGAGCAGGTTGAACATCGGCTCCACTCTGACCACGCCTTCCTCCCCCCTCCGCTCCAGGAGTAGGAGGAGGAGGAGAGAGGAGAGAGGAAGGAGGAGGGAGGAGCAAGACGAGGAAGGGGCAATGAGGAAGAAGGAGGGCAGGACAACGAAGGTGGATCCTCACGGCAGGTGAGCGGCCACGTCGCGGGAGCGCATCAATGCCCGCAGCAAACGAATTCGAGCGCGGGCGCTTCAGGAAGCCTATTGCTTCCCCTTTGCCAGCCCCTCGCGGCCCAACTCGACGTCGATTGTTCTTCTGATTATTACTCGTACGGTCTGTTATTGTGACTATTATTATTGTCATTACTGTTCGTATTATTGATAGTATTGTTATGGTGATTCGTTCTCTTCTTAACTATACGTATATATATATATGTATCACTCTTATGCTTTCGTAATTCCACTCATTAATCCACCGCCTGGCCTTCACTATCGTGATTGGTCCCAGCGGTAGTTAAATCACTTAGAAGAAAACCTTCGGGCGATAAAGACTTTCGAAAAAGATGGGTGTAATGTTCGATGCGCGACCGGTGTGGTGCATACGCACACACGTATGTGTATACACATATATATATATATATGTGAAAGAGCATGATATACCGCTGCTGGCGGAAAACCGAGGGGGGGGGTCACTGGGGGTTCCCAACCCGTCCCCACCCCCTCTTCGAAAACCGGGGGGGGTCACTACCGGTTCGAACCCCCTATGCCCCCTCGAAAGCTGGGGGCCCCTCGACATAGTCCAGAGGGGGGGCGGTGTAGACAGGCCTATGGCTATAGGGATAGGCCCTGCATCTGTATTGTTCGCAGGGGTGTTCATTAGAGTTGTCTGCCGCCGCCGCTGCTGCTTTACCGGTTTACCTTCTCATCCTCCTCCTTATCTTGCTGCGCTTGCCTTCCCCTCTCTGTTTCCTGCACCGTGCCCATTGTAACATAATAATAATAGTCATCATCATCCTCATAATTTTCCTCCTCCTCATCATCATCAGCGTCATCGTCAGCATCATCAGCATACTCCTCCTCATCATCAGCATCATCTTCATCATCATCAACGACAACCTCATAATCATGATCATCATTCCCAGCATCAGCATTATCACCACCACCATCGTCACCACCATCGTCATAATCAGCATCATCAACACCGTCAGCAGCATCACCATCAACATCGTCATCATCGTCAGCATTACCATCATCATCACCACCAGCATCATCATCGTCATCATCATCACCCTCACCCTCACCCCCACCGTCGCCTTTACTCTTACGTTCACACTCACAATCGCAGTGATCATAATCATCCTCGTCATCATCAGCAGCATCGTCATTCTCAAACGCATCCTCAACCTTATGTTCATCCTCACCATCATCGCCATCATCACTGCCACAATAACAATCATCATCACCACCATCATGGTCATCATGCCCATCATCAACAACATCACCATCGTCACCATAATCATCATCATCATCATCATCATCATCATCATCATCATCATCATCATCATCATCATCATCATCGCAATCAACATCAACATCATGATCCTCATCATCATCGTCCTCGTTATCGTCATCATCATCATCGTCATCATCGTCACCATCACCGCCACCACCTTCATAACAACCATCACCATCATCATCATCAGCATCATCAGCATCATCAGTATCATCATCACCAACACCAGCCCCATCACCATCACCATCGTCATAATCATCACCGTCACCATCACCATATCATCAAAATCGTGGTCATCACCGCCATCACCACAAACTGCCGAACGAACTGTTAGTCCCAATTCCAGTCCGTGCCCCGCCATCTTCCAGCGTGTCATCTTCCCACGCCCGCCTTTGATCAATATTGCTTCTCGCGCCTGGCCAAGTGGTCCTGAGACGCTCCCTCCAAGGCTGCGCGAGCAAGCGCCAGGCTACGCGCTGCCCTTCTGCGCAACGCTGCAACATTATGCGCTGCCTTGCGTCTGCCCTATGCGGCATCCTACAAAAATAGCCGGCGGCTCTGAGTGACGCTATGCGCCGCTCCTACGCGATGCCATGCGCACACACAAAAAGCACAGCGAAGATCGACGGATCCCCTCGCGCGGCTCCTCTCCCCTCCCTGGGCGGCGCGCTGGAGGAAGGTGGGGCGAGGGGTTTCTCAGGATGAGCCAGCTCAGCACATTCTCCTTATTAAACATATGTGTAGAGTAAGTAGCTGGTATAATAACTGTGAACATACTTACACAACTAGAAGTATATACATATACATATAGAGATGGAAAAAAGGAGAGAAATCGAGAGAGAGAGAGAGAGAGAACGAGAGAGAGAGAGAGAGAGAGCAACACAAAACACATCACAAACAGTAGCAAATGACTTCCAGGACAGCGCCAGAGCAGGTGGGAGGGCTCCCGAGAGACGGCGTGGCTTCTCAAAAAGTTTCCCCCCCGCGCCCCCGCACCTGCTGCCCGCCGCTGTTCGAGCATGCTGTCTCGATGGGTCCCGCAAGCGGGGGGCACGGAACGGAAGCGAAGGGGAGGAGGGGGGAAGGGGGAGGAGAAGGGCGGGGAGGGAACCAGGGAGGAGGAGGAGGTGGAGGCACGTCTACCTGCCCTGGTCGCCTACCTCCCGCGAGACTGGCATGGGTAGAGCTGGCCCTCCCCCCCCACACCTCCCCGCGCGGCTGCCGCCCAGGCGCCCCGCAGGAGGCGCATGCCCCTACATGCCGCCCCACGACGCTGGGCCTCCGCGCAGCCCCGCGAGGCGGCGGGCCTCGGCGACCGCGCTGGCCTGCGCCTGCTGCACCTGTGGAGGGGGCCCTGGGGCACACAGATAAACACACACAGATCACCAGATTCCCCATCTCTTCTTATATTCTCTGGGTTTTCGTCTTCCACCCCACTCCCTATATTCTCCCATATTTTTGGGGGGAATCGAGAATTCATTGTGTCTGTGTGTGTTCTTTCCCCTCCTGCACCTGGCCGGCGGCCTTGGCCGCCTCCTCGGGCGCCGCCGGCCACGCGCAGCCGTGCTGCTGCGGCAGCTGCTGCGGGCTGAAGCCGTGCTGCAGGAGCACGCCGCTGGTCTCCTGGAGGACCTGCGCGGGGCTCCCCCAAGCTGCTTTTTTGTGCGCGGCATTCTCCACAGAGTTTGCCTACATTGTTTCGTTGTCGAACTTCCCACGCCGTGCGGTGACGGGCCGCGCGGTAGCCTCGGAATCCCTTAAACCTGACAGCGCGGTCCGTCACCGCACGGCTTTGGGACCTGGAAGGCTCCGATCGCTCGAGACATCCTCGGAGAACGACTCAGGTCTCCAAACCGCGTAGAGGCCCCGAAGTCCCACTGACTCACCACGCGGTGTGGTCACCACAACGTTTGGGGGCCCCCGAACCTGGCTCGCGCTCGCCGGGAAGGTCGGCACCGGGAGAGCGCCCGCAGCGCTCTGCGGGAGCAGCTGAGGCGAGGCATCCGACATCGCGGTGCACGGCGGCAAGTACCTCCGCGTCCCGCCGTACAGCGGCGCGGCGTCGGCCCCCGGCGCCAGAGGGGGCGGCAGCTGGTGCAGGGAGCACGAGCCGCCGACCTGGCCGAGGGCCTGAGGGAACTGCATCGGCTGCGGCAGCGCGCCCGCCCAGGCCATCGTGGTGGCTGGGAGCGCTTGCGCAGGCGCTGGCGGCAACGCCTGCATCGTCGCGGCGTGGAGGTCCAGTTGCACCGGCTGATGTGACAGTTGCGGCTGCAGGAGCGGCGGCGGGGCCGTGGGCATGGTGGCGGCCCTCTGCTGCCGCTTGCCGCGGCGGCCGCCGCCGTTGCGCTTGCTACGCTGCTCGAGGGCGGCGTCTGGTCTCGGCAAGGCGTGGTGCAGGTACAGCTGCGCCACGGCCTCGCAGGCGTCCACCGCGCCACTGCTCTTCTGGTACAACCGCACCAGGATGCCGTGCGTGATCGCCGACGGCTGTACCCTCGAGCGGATCATCTCAGCGAAGAGACCGATGCCCGCCGAGAGGTCGCAAGCACGCACGCAGCCGTCCATGAGCGAATTATACACCATCTCGTCGCAGGGCAGGCCGCTCGCCTTGATGGTCGCTGCCACCTGGCTTCCCCTCCTCCCTCCTCATCCATCTCTCGTTTCAGGGCGCGCAGCTTAGCTTTTCCCCATACCCTGTGACAAGTGGGGCTGCGAAACCAAACAACTGATCCTACACATCCGATGGATGTGCTTATCCGTGTTTTTCTTCGTGCAGGCCCACAAAAGCGCCAGCAACATGGCAAACCATTGGAAGTCAAACACCCACGGGCGTGTGCGGCAGCCAGGGTCATATGAGACAGTAAAGGCCATGAGAAGCCAAGGAAGACAGGCACCTGCGAAACCACTGCGGTCCTGAAGGCAATATGAAGCCATAGATGGCCCAGCACCCACGGGCCAGTACGGCACCCACGGTCATAGGAGGTCATCGAAGACCACAGGAAACTTTAGGGAAGTATGGGAGGCCAAAGGATACCGAGAACGCAGGAAGGAGCGCAGCATCCAGCGCCGCAGGACGCCATAGGATGCCAAGCCGAAGGAGGCCAAACACCCACGGGCAAGTGAGGCATCCAGGGCCACAGGAGGCCAAGATTGGTGGCTTTGAAAAAAAACATGGGCGACCCACCACCCACAAGCAAATGCCACATCTGAAGCCACCGGAGGACATGACTAGGCACGTACTTAGGAGGCTGAAGAAAACCATGGCAGGCTGCAGGAAGCGAAATACCCACGGGCGAGAGCTGCACTCTTGGCAACGTGTGCCCTACGAGGCCATACGCCCTCGGCCCAGTGCTGGACCCAGGGCCGTAGGAGGCAACGTGAGGTTATGGGTGGCCTTAGTAGGCGAAGCTCCCAGGGGCGAGTGGGAGATCTCTTTGCTTCGCCCCCCCGTGGAATGTTGAACAATCTGTTTACACCGTTTGTATGAACAGACACGGTCTGGCCTTGCTACACGTTGGGCAAGAATGAGATATACCACCCAGGTGCGTTTTCTTCCGCAAGTGATTCCCAAGAGGGCCCCAATACGACCAAAAGTGCCCAAGGGGCCCCCAAGACTGGCTCGCAGGAGTCCAAGACAGGACGAAAGAAAAGGAGGGCAACGACGAAGACGAGAAGAGCATCCCCGACACGGCGCGTAAGAGTGTGTCACATGTTGCGGCGATCCCACGGCTCGGGGAAGGAGGTGTCACTCGCTACGGCCCCCTGTGCGCCCCCCCAAGAGTCGCCACCCAAGGTGCTAGGCTGACGCGGTGGCGAGGCTTGCCGCAGATAGCTGGCTGGGAGCTCATATGAAATCACAGGAGGCCAGAGGAGGCGAACCACCCACGGGCGAGTGCGGCACCCAAGGCCATAGAAGGCCAGGTGCCCACGTGCGAGTGCGGCACCATGACCACAAGAGGCACGGGCAATTCAGTGGTACAGGAGGCCATAACAGGCCAATTACCCACGGGCAACTGCGGCAACCAAATCTGGCCTCTAAGATCGCACAAGCTAGCCCAAGATGGCATACGATAGCTACCAGCATGCATTCAAGAGGCGCCATGACTTCCCCACGTCGGCTCCAAATGGCCACGGGGCCTCCCAAGGACCCCCCCAGGAGGCCAACATGAAGCCAAATCTTGCGGAATAGTATCATTTGGTGTCTTCTGGCCTGTTCGCTTCCGATGAGCTCTTGAGGCCCAAGAGAGCCCCAAGAGGAGCCCAAGAGGGGCCCCAGACGGCCCCAAGAGCCCTCCGGAGCGCCCCAAGCGGGCCCCAAGAAACTATGTTTGGGCCTCCGACGGGGGAGACTGTGATTGACGCTGCCCCCCCATCTGATCGATGGCCCCCAGGATGGCCACCCAAGGCTCCCAAGAGGACCCAAAGAGAACCCAAGAGGGCCCCTAAGACAGCACCGAGACAGTACCGACGGCCTCTAAAATGGACGCAATAGGGCCCCAGTGGCCTCAAGATGCCCCCAAGAGGCTCTCAGAGCGTGACTGCATGCTGCAACAGATCCCTGACCAGGGCAACTCGCCTGGCGATTGCTTCTGGATGGGCTGATCGGGATGCGACGCGTCAAGCATTTAGCTGACTTTCGGGCGCACTGAGGCGCTGGGCCATGTATCGAGCAACGTGCCTGGCGGTGGACCGTGGGGCTGAAAACACATGAAATCAAGAAACCCTTGCTCCCCCCACACACCCGCTCGCCCACCCCAATCTTCCTCCACCTCATCATCTTGTAATAAACATGTTGTATAACTTTGGCCCCCTGTTTGGGCAACTGAAGGCCTGCAGGTCTGCAGAAGCATGTGGACACCTCTAGAGAAATGGGGAGGCTGCCTCCGACCCTGGTGCGACACCGCGGAATCACGGGTGTATCCTAAGCGCCAGGGAAAGGGCGCTGGCATGTGATCGCACCCCGTGGTATCGCAGCGCGCGGCGGGCCAGACACTCTTGTGCGAGAGACGCCTCGCAAGAGGAATGAGACAGCAGGCATCAACGATGCAGGGTGCGGGAGCAGGACCCTTGAACGTCCGTGCAAAACCACTGGAAGCGGTGGCAGGCCAAAACACTGGACCGAACCGGCAAGGATGCAAAAGGGGAACCCCCTGCATGAAGCCCCGCGTCTTGGAGGCGGCCGGGGGGATTGAACTGGTTGGGACCCCAGAACGAGTCGGTCTGGGGGTCACGAGAGAGGGTGAGGCCAAATCCGCTCAACATCGGTCCCCAGACGCCTGCTGGGCAGTGTCCTGATCAGCTTTTGCACGGACCCAGGGCCTGGGAACGGCCCCCGGAAGCCGAGAACGGCAAAACACCTGTGACCTCGAACCTGCCCGCCCTTCCTGCTGGTCAGAACCCGTGCTGGGCCACCTCAGACCCCAGACGGCTCCAACCCGCCTCCCTGCTGTCGGGAGCGGCCAATAGGGGGGTGTCCAAGAGGGGGGGGGGTGCAAATCATGACCGGCGGCATGTGCGCGGCCCAGCGGGGGGGCCTGGGACGTAATAGGATAAGAAGAGGCGCCATGAAATCTGAGGAAAAATCATGGCCCGCGCCATGATATCCACCCCCCCCTAGTCATCACCCCCCTCTTTTCCGCCCCCGACTGCTGCGTGCCGTTGCTGCCTGCCGCTCCACGCCGGGCAGCGCGCAGGGGGGCCAGCACCCAGGCTCCCAGCCCCGCGCCCCTCTGGCGGGGCGGGCGGGCGGCTCCCCACCATCGACGTGGAGGAGGGCGAGGGGGGGGGGGGGGGAACGGCGCGGGAGGCAGAAGGGGGAAGCGGGAGGAGGGGAGGAGGACGTGGAGTGGGGGGGGGAGCAAGGGGCCAGGGGGGAGAAGAGAGAGGAGAAGCAGGACGTGGACGAGGACGAGGGCGAGGAGGAGGCGGCGGCGCCACTGGCGAGCGCCGGCCCGCCGACCCGGCGCCCCACGGCCGGCGCCGCTCAGCCCAGGGCGGCCAGCTCGGGCCACTCGTCGGCGCTGAGCAGCGGCGCCGAGCGGGCGCTGGACGGGCCGCCCCAGCGCTCGCGCGCGGCGCCCCGCGCGCCGCCCGGCGCGCCCGCCCCCCGGCGCGCGCGCGGGGCCCCTCTCCCGGGCGGCCGCAGCGCCTCCACCGCGAAGGGCTCGTCCCGGGGCCTGGAGGCGAGCCTCGACTTCGTGACGACGGCCGGGTGCTGGCAGGGGTGCCCCCTCTTGGCTTCGGGGGGCGCCCCGCCCAGCTCGTCCGCGACCCGACGAGCTCGGTGATGAACAGAGCTCGAGCTCGGGCGCGCCAAGCGTCGGTCGCGAAGGAGGTCGAGCTTCGGTACCAGAGAGGCGGCGCGTAGGGGTCCAAGCGAGGGTCCAACGACGTCGACGGCTCATTCGTTATCGGAATCTGCGACCGGAAGTCTGATGTCGGCCGCGACCGGTTGGTCGAAATGGTTACCAAACATTGTCGGTAACGGGTGCTCTGGGCAGACACTCCCGGCAGGCCCCCCCCCCCGTGTGGCCTCTAGAGGTGTCCGCCCGCAGGGCCCAGACTGGGCCCGGGGGAGGGGGGCGACGATGGGTTGAGCAGGGACCCGCCGTCCCGGGCATTCCTATAATCACACCACGAAATGCATTGAAACCAAAAAATGTTCTAAGAACAAAAACAATGTTCTTAGAACATAAACCCGATGTGCTAAAACAAGACAGCCTCCGCCAGAAATGTTCTAAGAGCATTTCGTGGGAACCACAAAAGGTTCTTAGAACATTGTTTGGTGGGGCTATAGGGGAGCCAGGGCGCTTCGCCACTGCCTGAGATGGGAGGATAGCTGGGGCACCTCGGGCCGAGGGCACCTCTGCCAGCGCCCGAAATGGAGTGCTTCTCGTAGCCCTTCTTGGTTTGGAACGCAAGATACTTCTTCTGGGACGCGCTGACGCGAAACCAGCGTCGATAGAGACGAACAGATATGCTGATGCTGATCGACAGATAGACGACAACCACCGCCCAGAAATAGAAGTAACCGTCGGGCACGAGCAACTCTGGGATGGTCGGGTGCCCTTCCAGATTCACAAAGTTCATCCCGTAAACACCGGCAAGTAACTGTATCGGAGACATGATGGTTGTGAAGCCCGTGAGGATGAAGAGGGTGTTGTTCAGACGGTCAGCCGCCCGGCGCTCGACCACCTTGTCGTGCTGCTCCGTGATCACGTTGCATCTCTCCGCCAAGGCCGCAGCGTCGTCCAACGCCTCCTCTTGGAGTCCCGACATGGCGCGGTGACAGACAGTGCGGTGACCTCGAAACCCCCCAGAACCTCACCGCACGGTCCGTCAGCGCACGGTTTCGGGACCTCGGAGGCCCGGGTCGCCCGAGACGTACACTCGGAGAACAGCCCGAGCCCCCAAAACTGTGCGGCGACCCCGAGTCCCCACCGACCCACCGCACGGTGTGGTCGCCAGGCCCCGTTCGGGGGCCCCCCCGACTCCTCGACCCCGTCCTTGACGTCCTGGAAGTACCCGGGGAAGTCTGCGCCCAGGTCGGGGTGCTGCACCGCGTGCCGCAGCAGCCGCTGCAGCCCGCGGAGCCGCCGCGCCAGCACGCCGAGCTGCAGGCTCACGAGCGTCACCTCGGCCAGCGCGGCGTCCTCGTGGTGCTCGTTCTCGGCGTAGAAGATCTGCTCCTCCAGGTGGTTCAGCCGCAGCAGGAAGGCAGACTTCACGTCCACCAGCGCGTCCGCGCAGAGATCGATGATCTGGTGCATCAGGAAATCGGCCTTGCGCTCGCGGAGCTTCGACCTGGGCGCCTCGAGCCGCTGCCGCAGCTTCCCGAACAACCCTCCGCCCTCCTCGAAATTGCGCCGCATCTCGCTCTCCTCGTCGACGCTGACGCCGCCAGGCCAATCCTCCGCGAAGGAGCTGTCGGGCTGTGTCACCGTAATCAGCGTGTCCGCGTGAAACACGTTTCCGACACCAGAGCAGGAGCACGACACGTGCATGCTGCGGACCTTCACGGGCTCCTTGCCGTCGGTCGGGGACGCCAAGATCAGCACCTGCACCACCACGAAGTGGTGATTGCCGTACTGCTCTATCTTGGTCTGGCACTGCTCCACCATGTCCTCCACGGCCAGAGGGTGCAGCCCGTACTTGACGGTCAGCGCCAACAGCGTCATCAAGTCAAAACCGCAACAGTGCACCCAGCGCACCAGCGCCGGCACACCCGGCCGCACTCGGGGCCTGTGGCCGAAGAAGAAAGCTTTGAAATCCCGCTCCCTGACCTTCAAGATGTCTGCGCCCCGGGTGTTGTAGTCGACGACCCATAGGCGCTGGTGCGGCGAGATCTCGTCAGGATTGTCGGCGCCCGTGCGGAAAACCAGGATGTGTGCCAGCTTCAGCCGCGACAGCACCACGTCGAGCTCTGCCCGCCGCAGGCCGCGGCCGCCCCACTCGAGGCCCAGCTTCTCCGAGATGCTGTTTAGCGCCTCGTCGCTGAGTCCAGGCATGCCGCACTCCTGCAGGCCGTGCTTCAGCTCTCTGAGCGAGACCTCCCCGCCTCCCTGCTTGAGCATGTCCTGGTACAGGAGGTGGATGTTCTCGGGGGTGAGGTCGAACCAAGCCTCGAGCACGTCTTCCCGCAGATCGCTCACCTCGGGCCCCTCCCTCTGATCGGCACCCTGCCACTGACACGTCCGCGTCGCGTCCTGGACCATCGTGCACCAGAAGTCCCCGGCCTGCTCCACCTCGTCTAGCCGCGACTGCATCGCCTCCTCGTCCTCCTCCCGGGGCGCCGCCCCGCGGAACCTCTCCGCCCCGACGAGCCTCTCCGCCCCCAGCAGCAACTCGGTCGGCGTGCCCTCGCCGATCTCGCCGCTGCTGCACTTCGGCGGCAACGCGTCGTCGCTGCTCGGTCCGTCGCCCACCTTGGGCGACGTCAACTGACCACCTCACAGATCCTGGTCGGGCCCATCCGGGGTCCAGGGTCGGTGTACACGCCAATCCTGGCTTGGCCACGGATGCGTATACACCGAGCCTGCACCCAGCATCGAGCTGGCCAGGATCGGTGAAGTGGTCACGTGACGTCGCCCGACCACCTCGGGGACCTCCGGCGCCGCCCACGCGTGGCGCGCCCAGCGCAGCACCCTGCCGCGCTCCGCCATGGTCAGCCCCAGCTCCCGCAGGTCCTCCCTGCCCAGGGCGGCCAGGTCCTCGGCCGTGCGCACCTGCTCGTGCTGCAGCGTGCCCCGCCGCAGTGCCGCGCAGGTGGGCGCCAGCCGCTGCAGCACCGCCTCGGCGCTGCAGCCCCCGCGGTGCGGGAGCGACTCGGCGGGGGCCCGCGGGGCACGGCGCCAGCCGCCAGTCGGCGGGCCGCGGGCCTGACTGGCCACCGCGGTGGACGAGCTCGTCCGGGGCCGGCCCCTGTGAGGGTGGAGGAGGGTGACGGGGACCCGGTGGTAAGGCTTGGTGTTGCGCACAGACAGCCCCCCAAGTAGTCCCGACTGCAACGGCTGGGTGCTCCGGACAAGTCGGGGCGGCCTATTGAGGCCAGTCAGGACTAGTTACCTGGGGTAACTGTTGTGTACGATCCGAAGCCTCACCAGGACCTGGACCTCCAGCGCCATTTTTGATCCACATGGCTGGGGTGGGAGCTCTCGGCCCCGGGGTCTCTGCGTCGACGACGTGGGTCCTGGATGTTGTCGCCGTGGGAACCCTTCAACGTGGAGCGAAATCCGCTCGCGGAGGTCCGCCGATGCTGCTGGGCCCGTTTTCCACCACCACAACCATACAACCATAAGTTGGATGGGGGGAAGGCGGCGGAGGAGGAGGAGGAGGAGGAGGAGGAGGAGGAGGAGGTGGAGGACGTAGAGAATGATGAGGAGGACCCGTCCAACTTCTGGTGGTGGTGGTGGGAGACAGGCCCGTCAAATGCTGCCGACGCCATCTTTCGGATGAACTGCCGCGCCGTGGGCCCTGTGGCCCGAGGCAATCTCCTGGAAGCTTCGGCACGAGAGGAGAGCGCCCCGCTGGAAGCAGGAGGAGGAGGAAGAGGAGGGGAAGGAGGAGGAGGAGGAGGAGGAGGTCCTGGACCCTGGGAGGTTCCCAAAGGCAAGCTTTTCATCTCGAGCCATCTTTAGACGGTCCGTGCAGGCGTCCTGGGAGGACGAGGACGGAGACATCGCTCGGCGCCCCTCTTTCCCGCAGGACTCCGCTCTGTCGCACGATCTTGTTCGAACAGGAGAGGGAAGGCCCGAAGCGTCTCCACAAGGCGACGTAACTCTGCTCAGTCGACGCAGGGGCCACGTTTCCAGCCAGCCACGCCGTGCGCTAAGACACGACCCGCGGGCGTCTCGGGGTTGGGCCCAGCACCCCTCTCCACGGGGAGCGGTTGAACAAAACCATGAACTTTCGGAGGTCCGCGCGGATTTCTCGTGTCGGCGCTGGACCCGTACCCTCCCTCCGACCCTGGCGCGCAAAATGCGCCAGGGGCGGCGCCGACACCAATGCATCCGCGCGGGCCTCCGAACATTCATGTTCACGATGTGTTGCATCCGTGGGGGACCTCGTCTGTCCCATCGCGCCAGTCGTCCGTGTCGCATCCATGGCGACGGCGTCGAATCGGTGTCGAATCGTCAAATCCGCGTCGCACCCACGTCGGATAACAAGAACATAGTGCCAATTATGTACAGGTCAGAGGAGCACCAAAGATGCAACGTAATTCACGCAACTCGGCGCAAGGTGGCCGAAGAGTGCGAGGGGGCCTGTCCGCTGCGTCGAGCGGCGGCGGCCTGCGGGCCTCGCGCGACGGGCGCGAGGGCGAGACGGAGTCATCGCCATGGGAGTCGCCGGAGGCGCGCCGCATGGGCGCGCGCGGGGAGGGTGGGGGGCGGCTGCCTCTCCGGCTGTCTCGGGGGGGAAGGGGGAGAATGCAGGGAAGGAGGCACAGGGGACACAGGGGGCACAAAGGGGAAAGTGGGGGAGACAGGAAGGGAGAAAGATGAGGATACGTGCCTAAGAGTCGGAGCTGGCGTCTGAAACGACGGAGGGCAAAGAGCCTGAAGGCGAAACTCCACAGCTACCCGGCCGAGCTGCGGAGCCGCCCGCTTTGTCAGTAAACGTGACATCTGGGCTCGCTGGAATTGCACGCGATGTAAAAGCGAAGCGCTCTAACTGCGGGATCAAGTGCCCGACGTCGCGCTCGAAGGAGATGTCGGACCCCGCATCCTCGAGGCACGCATGATCTGTGAAGACGTCGGCGCCCCTGCGCTGCAGGCGTGCCAATTCGGGCTGCAGCGGAGCGCATCTGAGAGCCCGTCCATGCGTCGGGGGGAGCAGATCTGCCTGTCAGCAATGGTGCAGCCATCCTCAGGCCAGTGTCGTGGTCTGGGCCGTGCTGCTCCGCAAAAACGCGGGCGACTTCTGACGCTGGAAACATGGGCGAAAAACAAACCTCAAAGGGGATCCAGACTTAGGGGGCGTTCAGACCTCGAGCCCTGCTGCTGCGCTGGCAATGGCCAAGGCGAACCACTTCCTTCTCGGTCGGTGCTTCATCGGTGGCAGAACAGGACAGCACAGGACGTTGTGCGTGACGATGCAGGGTACGGCGAAGGCACTGGCTCTCTGATGCGTCGATACCAGGCCATGGCACGCATCTCCGCCGCTTGGGCAAGGGTTTCCGCCAACGTCACATATCTTGAAGGCCGCGCACCACTCTTCGGACCAAGCCTCTGTCGCGAGGGGCAAGGAGCGACGGTGCTTCAGGACGAGGAAAGGACGGAATTGGCTTCACTTGGGTTCGGTTTCGGAACGTGCCCATGCCCCAATTGGCAGGTCGACCCGAAATACCTAAAACAGACACCAGGAGAGAACAGGGACAAAACGCGACAACTACGGGGTGACCTCGGCAACCTGGGGCCCAGAACGAAAACCGGATGGACCAACCAGTAGGTAGAGAGTCGGCGATCGCCCCTTCGATAAAGGTGGCCTAACGCCATGTTCCCCCCAGCGTTGGGCGCAGACCTGGAGAATGCGCACGTCGTGGGTGAACCTGTGTGAGGCATGGATGGAGGGGCCGTGGTAGAGGAGCCACCGTGCGCTTCCTTGCCATCGCCGCAGCACTCATACTATCGCAATTGCGGGTGTTCCGCTGTTCCTTTTATCTGCCACTCCGCACTGTCTGTACTAAGGTGTTCAGAATTCGTGCTTGATGTTGTTCGTGCGTTCTGAAATTGCTTCGACCAGATGGCTGCGGTAAGACGCGAGAACGCTCTATTGCCTGCGTTGGGGTGACTAATAAGAGATGAAGAGGGATAGTGAGGGGCTGAGGAAGAGAATTCTGGTCACCCCGCGGCTCCGTTTCTACATGCGCAGACTGCCCACCTGTCCGGGTCGCTTATGTCCGAGCCCCTGTGCGAGGATGCGCAAAACGGCCATCACCCTTGCATGAAGTGTTTTGCATATCCATCAACATGTCAGGCAGAGGCTTCGGGATATTATTCGGTTGATCTTCTTCTTCGCGTAGCCCAAGGGGGCGGATCTCGTCCGGCGAACCGAAGGGCACATGGTTAGCGATGTCCGTCGAGCGGGCTTACACAAAGCAACGTAGTAGTGAATGCGCGCGCGTGGGCCGGCCGGCCGGCCAGCCCGGCCGCGCGCGCTTTGCTCCGAGAAAACGAACAGCTGCGGAGACAGCCCCATCCGCGTCAGTCTTCAGTCCTCAACCCTGCCAGCGCTGCGTTGAGGAAGAGTGGGCAGGGCGGCTGGACAGGGCGAGGGGAGCGCTGGGAATGCAATGGTTCCCCCCGCGGCCTCCTGGCGCGACGTCGTCGCGGCAGTGGGGACTTCGGCGCATGGGATAGCCTCCCGAGCAAAAGAAGCGGGACACCCCAAACTGCCTCCGGCAGGCCCCGAGAGCGCAGGACGGACCCCACCCCTTCCCCAAAGGCCACTTTGGGCCCCCCACGGTGTCACCTCCAAAAAGATCCAGGGCGCGCGTGGGAGGGAGTGCCCCCGCCACCGCTGCATGGGTTGTCAGCGGCCTCCTGGCACGCCCCTCCCTAAACTGCGATGCAGAGGCGCGTGCCGCCCAGCCATCCACTCTTCGGGCAACCGGCCCGTCGGTGTCCTCGGCGCGCCAGCTTGCCGGGGCAGCGCCCCATGGCTTCTCGGGCCAGATGGAGACACTGTCTCGGTCTATCGACCTGAACGATGCGCCCTCCACCGCTGGCCCCCCGCGTCGTCGCGCCTTGGGCCGACCCCGACCGCCGCGCTGGGTCGGCCAGCCAGCCGAACTTGCAGATGGCGCCCAAGAAGCCCCGAAGTCGGCGGGGCCCGTGCGCCATGGGGGCTGGGAAGACGCCGCTTCACACTGCCACCCTCCTCCGCGGCAGCGACGCCAAGGCGGGGCGGACTCTTCTCCGGCAGTCTCTCCGCGCATGCGCGCCGGCGCAGGTGGCGCAGGCGCGAAGCGCAGCGCCTGCGCCCCGCGGAATGGCATGGGACTCGCGCTCAACGACGGAGGCACTGCCGGACTCGTGCGAAGATCTCCCCACTGGCCCCACGGATCGTGACGGGGCCCCTGTGGCGGAGCGCCCGCAAAGACACATTTGCTCAAGCCCTCATATAGTGGGAACCCAAGCGCGCCAGCGCATGGCCGTCCGGCGTTGGGGAAGGTCTGAACGCGCGGCGGACCACGGCTGTGATCCCGCGTCCTCGACTTCACGGAACGGGCCCGAGGAGGTGGGGGTGGCGCCTATCCGAAACGCTTTCGACGCAGCGGAGAGGAAGCCCCACCGCTGCCAGCGTCGCCGCCCCAGTCTCCATCATCGTCGCTGCCGTCGCCCAGCAGACCGCCAGGAGGGTCAAGGAGCGCCTCAGGGCGACAATCCTTGGTGGAGCCCACCGTGCACGAAGATGATCACACATGCGGTCCTTCTGTTTGGCAAGGGCAGGGAGATTAGAACCCACGCCCCCCCCCTTTACACCAACTGTCCCACACAGTGGATGGGGCGCTGGCATGAGGCCATTTCTTTATTGCTTGGTCATGACGGGCGTCATGGCCCCCGCTCCCCCCCCCTATGACGTAACGCTCCCCACCCCAAGTGCGCTCCGGACACTGCCGCCGTGCGCGTTGGGATCCGCGTAGGTGTCCGCGTAGGAATCCGCATAGGTGTCTGGTCCGCAGGCGTCGTCGTCGTCGTCGTCGTCTTTCGTCGTCGTCGCTCGTGGTTCGTCGCTTGTCGCTCATTGTCGTCGTGCGCGCGGACGCGGCTGGAACCTGTTTTTGAGTCTGGGCCGATGACGACAATCATCTGGGGGGGGGGGTCGATGATGTCACGTTTCGCGCCAGCGGCGTTTGGGAATGGTTAGGAATGACGTAGGACGGGTAGCACGGACATGTAGGTGGCGATATGCACCACGACGCCTGTGTACATCACAGTGCCCGCGTGCACCACAGCGCCTGTGTACACCACACCGCCGACGCACACCACAGCAGCCGCGTGCAACACAGCGTCGGTTTGTGCCACCGTGCCTGCGGGCACAGCAGCTCCTGTGCACACCACACCGCCTCCGTACACCACATCAGACGTGCGCAACACAGCACCAGTGTACACCACAACGCACGCGTGCATTGCAGTGCCTGTGTGCGCCACGGCGCCTGTGTGCACCACGTCAGCCGTGCGCAACACAGTACCACCGTTGTGTATAAAATTTCGGGAGGAATCCTTGTGACAAAATGGAGGGCGTGTGGATTCCAGAAAAAAACAATGGAAAACAAATCCTCATGGACAAAGGAGCGCCGCTGGAATCTACGAGTCCCCCCGAATCCGCCCGCATCACCCTAACTCCCAGTTGCGTCCAGGAGGCTCCAGCTAAACTGGCCGCCCGAGAACCAAGTGGACCGATTCAATCGACCATTTTGCGGTGCACGCTGAGATGCGCACGTGCGTTTTAACGCCAAGCCGCACGACAGGGGGTAAGAAGAAGGAAATGGAGGACGAGGAGCAGGAGGAGGAGAAGGAGGAGGTGGAGGAGGAGGGAAGAGGGAAAAACGTCGCATTCGATTATTATAACTTTCGTGGCGTGGTGATTAGTTGTACACATCAGATCCTGACGTACATGCTCCTTCTACCTGTCCTATGCACGCAGGCACTGTGGTGTACACCAGCGCTGCGTTGCACGCGGATGCTGTGGTGTAGACAGGCGCTGTGGCGTGCACAGGCGCTGCGGTGCACGCAAGCAGCGTGGTGTACACAGGCGTTGTGTTGCACATGGCTGCTGCGGTGTATGTACACCGGCGCAGTAGTGCTCCCCAGTATTGTGGTATACGCGGGCGGTGCGTTGCACACGGCTGTTGCGGTGTACGCAGGCGCTGTGGTGCACACGCGCGGAATGGTGCACGCGAGCGCTGTGGTGCACACAGGCGCAATGGGCAGATCGCCACTTACATGCTGCTCGCGTCGTCGTCGTCGCTCGTCGCTTGTCGCTCGTCGCGTCGTGCGCGCGGGCGCGGCTGCGGTGCCGGAGCCACGCGGCGGGGGGGGGCGTCACGTCAGACCCCCCCCCGCCCTCCCCCCCCCCATGACGCCCGTCATCGCCGAACATATAGAAACGCCTTCCATTCGCATCTGCTGGGCGCGTGCTGCCCAGCGTGAAAGGTTCCAGAAAAACCGAAATATTTGCCATTTTGTGTCATGCAAAAGCTCAAGATTCAGGGGCCATCGCGTCCTCCCCAGTATCTGGGGGCCCTTTGCACAGTTGATCCTTGACCAGCCGTGGGCCCAACTTGCGGGCTTTCCCATGAAGCCAGGTGCGATTGTCATTCGGCGCGGCGCGGTCGCATGACCTCGGTCGCCGCGCCAGGACAGCCATGCAAATCAAATGATAAGCGAACGCCGTCTTGCCATGAAGCGCGAGCTTCCATCGATGCTTGGCCTGGTCCCGTCGTTTCCATTTGGTCTCGGACTTGTGCGCTTTCTTGTCCGTTGTACGACCTTGCATGCATGTTCTTGGCCGCGCAGAGGACGCGGGGACATTGTGCCTGGTCTCTGGGTCGATCTCCAGGAACTGCATGTCCCGCCACCCAATCTATCCCCACGGAAACGCAGGATATAAAGCAAACGGCGATCCAAGACGAGGCTTGAAGATGATAGGCATCGAGAAATGCAGGCAATGAATATCACCCAGCCGCTTACGGTTTGCAGGAGGGCACATTCGATAACCATCTTCCCAGGGCGCCGGCAGGGGCATCTTAGCGAGCTGATCAACGTGCTAATGCAACTGAAATCCATGCTTGTCGCGCGTAATCAACGCAGCCTGAATCTTGGCGCGGTCAAATCCAGACTCCACCGAGGAGTCGATCATGCACCGAGGTCCACGACGCTGTCGGGGCCGAAGTATCTGCTGCTGCAATCGGCATAATCTGATGGATATCGCCCCAGCGAGGGCGAAACTCAATTGAAAAAGGTCCGTCTGGCATAATTCAAAATTCTCCATGGTCAAAGATGCGCGATGACACCGTCGCCATGCAAAAGCCCGATAGCTCGGCTGGGCCATCGACATCGAAGACCCGCGCGTCGAGGTTGCCGGTGGAGAAAGACCAGGGCCACAGATTTGTCCGAAGTCTTCTGGGAAATCGATATGAATTGTCCTGAAGGCCGTCATTCCCATCCCGCTGCAGGAGGTTGATCTCTCCACGCGCGTAGCCCTCGCCAGTGGTCATGACTGGGTCATCGGGCCAGGGGAAGCTGTGTAGCTCTACAGGGATGACAGACGTTAATCTGCACTGGTTTTTCCATTTACTTTCATTTTCGGACGAATCACCTTGTCAGCAACTGATTGCAATGCACTCGCGGGCGTAAAGGGGGCAACCATCATCGCCGGGGCGTTCCTGTCGCATGACTTATGGCGACAATATATGCGTCCCGGCTGGACTACCCTCAGCGAGCGCCCCTGGGATGCTCGAAACACGATGGGTCGCGCGCTGGGCGGTCCGAGATCAGCCCCGTGCAATGCCCCGCCCTCGCGGGGCATTTCCGCCCGAAGCTTTCCCTCCAATGACTGGGCTGTCCCACCTCTGGTTCGTCATGTTCTGCCATCTTAACGCCCAAGGCATGCGTTGATTTCCTCGGCAGCGCGCATGAAGCGCGCATCGGCCGAGACCGCGGGCGACCGAACCCCTCGTCGACGAGGTCGACCGCGCATTTCGCCTCAATCCATCCGCCCGAACTGAGGCCACCAGCAGCACGATGTTAGATCATTTCGAATACCCACAATCCCAGCCGCGTGGCTTCTTCCTAGCTCGCGCCACTGAAGAACGCACGCACATGACGATAAGCGAATGATGCGATGTGAACAAGCTCGCGCGCATTAACAGGAAGGTCGTGCGATTCGATCGATCCGCACCGAGCTCGGAGGCATTCATCTGCAGCTGTCCGGCCTGTTTCACCCAAATCCCGAAGGACCTCAAGGACTGCATCGCCTGAGTAGCCGATGTCTTCGCCTCTGAGCGGGAGCAGGCTCAAGAAACGGGACCCGTAGGAGGGTTATCAGGGCATGGGCCAGCGCAGCGCGCGGCCTCCAGCTCCCGAGACAGAGATGCTGCCGCCATGAGCAGCCTCGATTTCTCCTCCTCTTGCGTCAGTAACAGCGTTTCAGTCCCCCGCGTGCAGTCTGCGCGTTGAAGGTCACGGTAAAATGCCGCCCATTTGTCAATCAGCTCTGTGCGAAGCCGTTCCTTTGATGCGCGTCTCCCTGGCGGGTTTGGCGGCGCTGGGAGATAGATGCCCCCCCGAACACCTTGGGCGCGCGTTGTTCTTGTGAGCGGGATCAAACCCAGCGGGGAATATCCCATGGGCGCGCCCATGGCAGACCGCGGCGCATGGTTTACGAAGACCGCGATGACATTGCCACCAGGCTCTCGGATGGGGTATGTTATTCCCCTGTCCTGTCAACAGCAGACTCCACCCGTGGTCCAGAGTCTCCGCTCACACCCGCGAGGCTCTCCCTCGGCTCCTATCTCCTGCGGTGGTGCGGTCGCGCGGGGAGGCCGCGTGCGATCGGGTTCCGCTGGCTCCGCGCTCGGACATCCCACCTGTTCCCCAGCCCGCGCCTGCGCCTGATCTGACGAACGGACAACACGCACCCATACCCATAGGGGGGTCGTTGGAGGAGGAGGACTGGCTATCGGTTTGGGTGCGGGTTGTCGGACCCTGGGGAACGCCCCCGTTCGAGCGGGGACGCCCATCCGACAACGCGCACCCATAGCCCTCTCCGATCCCCCTATGGGTATGGGTGTGTGTTGTTGTTTCGTCATGATCAGCATCCTCTTACCCAGTCAGCGTCGGGGCCATGCCGTGGCACCTCAGGGGGAGGGGCAGGCGGCGCGCCGGCACTGCCCGCGGCCTGTCTAACGCATCCCAGCGGTGTCGACATAGAGATGCATCTGATGCCTCCGTACCACTATCAGTGTGCGGGCCTTCTCCATCCGCATGGGAATGGCGCGCCCGCCGCGATGCGTCATTACCGAGTTAGTGCGGAGGGGCGGTCGTCTCTGCGCACCAGCTCTCATATATGTTACGTTCCTCGCCCATTGTGCTGCGGTCATTATGGAACGAAGCCAAGATCGTCCACCCAGGCCCCAGCCACTGCCTCTGGGAAAGCACGGGCGGGCCGCCGAAGGAGCAAATCTGAGCAGGCAGCACACAATAATGGAGTGAGAGGGCAAACCTGCCGGATGCCGCGGGTTATATCGAAGCCAAGGTGTCGCGCCCCATCCAGATACAGGTAACAAGAATTGTGCCTCTACAAGTTGACCGCGAAATTGACGATCCAACGGGGGAGCCGGTGCTCGATGGACGGAAAAGGCGGCTGCGACATCGAAGAAAAACGCCATGCCCCCCTCGTCGTTCGCCGCCGTATACAACATGGCCTCGTCAATGTCGATGATATTCGCCAGCATGGACCGGCCGCCGGCCCTGGATGAAACCCCGCTGGTCGTCTGTGGCAAGCGGGCCGAGAAGCAGCTCCAGTAGGATGCGGCATGCGCTCGCCAGGAGGCGGTTGCCCGCATTCGCAACGTTAAATGGACGCACGCCCCCTGGCTCGAAGACCTCGTCGCCCTCGGCCGTGAGCCCCGCTGCCTTCTTGGGAAGGAGCATGAGGAGGCTCTCGTTGAAGTCCCCGTCCATACTCCTGCGCCATCCTATCCTCAGAGTCGTCACCGCTGATTTCCTGGAAAGCGGCATGTAGCATGTCGACTGCCACGTCCCCCAAACGACGCCATGCAGCATGAGGAGTGCCGTCCGGACCTGGAGCCGAATTGCTTGATAATCTCAACGCCTTCGCGACATGTTCCTTTTCCAAACGCAGGTGGGGGAGGCTGTCACGGAGATGCGCATGCTCTGCGCCCGGGGGGGGGGAAGTGAGAGGGGGCGGTTGTTCTCAAAGGCCCAGAAGTCCTCCTGCCCTCTGGCAGATTTCCAAAGCCTTCCCCGAGGACGCGGGAAACCTCTCTGAAGGCCGGCCGGAGGGCTTCTGAGAAGCCCCGCCGTCTGAGAAGGCCCTCTCCTTCTCAATTCCACCCCGGGCGCGCCGCAGATCCTCCTCCTCCCTCTTCTCCTACTCATTCTCCTCCTTCTCCTCCTCCTCCTCCTCCTCTTTTTCCTGGTCGTCGTCCCCCGTGGGGTAGCACGCCAGGCCCTGCCCGAGGCGCTTTTCTCTGGAGCCAGCACGGCCGACGCCGTCGGTAGCGGCAGAGAGAAACAGGGAAGGGGGCGGGGGCGGAGGGGCAGGGGGGAGGGGCAGGGGGAGGGGGAGAGGGAGGCGGAAGAGGAAGGAGGAGGAAGGAGCAGAGAGGAAAGAGAGGGGTGACGACGAGGGAGGCGGCGGCGGCGCTCTACAAGAGTCCGAAGTGGCGGTCGGACTGGGGCAATGCCCCCCTCAAATCTGCAGCTCGGCACCTCTCACACCAGGGGCACTAGCGGCAGCCCCGTGCATGCAGGGGGGGGCCTGTGCACAGCCCGCATCGAAGTGGCTCCCTCCTTACACCAGGAGGGCGAGACCAAAATCAGATCACGGTCCAATAACGAGCGACAAAGGCGCGGAAAACGGGCGATGGATCGGGGGCACTCCCACGGGACGGCCGTCCACCACCCCAGGCAGTGCGCTCCCACCCGAGGTAGCGCCCCCGAAAAGGGGGGAGGAGAGCCCGCAGGCCAGAGGAGCGGGGAAGGCGAGAAAGCGAGAGGGACGAAACGGCACGCGGTGGGAGGACAGACCGCGCCTGGAGCGCCTTGTCCAACTCCCCCATGTGGCAATACCCCTTCAATAAGGTGGAATACGTGATGTGGTCGGGAACGATCCCGCTGCCTCACACGCGGGCTGCCGTGGAGGAGAGGTAAGGAGAGGAGAGAGGGGGTGCTCGCAGGCACGGCTCCCCCCCAATCCCACGGACGCGAACCAGGTCTTGCACTCAGTTTGCGCCCGCTTGCGGCTCCGGCTGTCAGACGCGCGTTGTGGCATGACTCCCCATGCCCATCGGCTGTGCGACGTCGATCGTTGCACGCGCAGGTTTTGTCACCGCTAGGGGCTCAACATTACACCAGACCAAACCCCAATCAATGGATTTCTGATGCGTGCCGCCCGTGTCTCCATCGCCATTCCTCCCGCCCTAACCGAGTTCGAAAACATGTTGAAGTCCAGTCTAGGTTTTCGATGTTGCTCTCTCTCTCTCTCTTTGTGTCTCTCTCTGTCTCTCTCCCTCCATGTATCTGTATCGCTATACACACGTTCGTCTCTGCGCGGGCATGCATACATACACGACCTTTCTCCTTATGCCTCTCTCTCTACTCCGTCCATGTCATCCTTTCTTTCTGTAGTATCGTTGCTCGGTGTTCTCTCTCTCTCTCTCTCTCTTTCTCTCGTTCTCCCCCTCTGTCTATCAATCGGAAGTTTGGACGTGAGATCGCAGTGAAACGGAGGCCGCTCCTCCACCGGGAACTCGGTGTCGGTTTCGTGTTCGTGTCATGCGCGCGGGCGAGGCAAGCTGCGTGTGCGGGCGAGAGGGATGAGCCCGCCGTTGCCAGGGCGCAGCCAAGCCAAAAATTGCTGTCCCGCGGGTTGGCCGACCATACCCCTGCAATGCCCCGACGCGAGTGGGCGTGCTATGCCGTTTGCAATGCAATGTTATGCTAGCGACCGTGAGATCGATAGAGAGGTCAACAATGAGATCGAGAGTGGCATCCATTGATGAGATCGAAAAGGAGATCGATCGTGAGACCGGCATTGAAATATAGAATGAGGACGGCAGACTAAGGTCGATAGTGAGATCGATAGTGATACCGATAGCGATATCAAATCGTGAAATCGAATCGTGAGATCGATAGTGAGATCGGTAGTGAGATCGATAGTAAGATCCATTGCGTAAGGTCGGAAGTGTGATCGATCGTGAGACCGATCGTGTGTTCGATGGTGAGATCAATAATGTGTGAGATCAATTGGGTGAGATGGATGATGACATCGACAGTGAGATCGATAGTGAGACCAATAGTGGTATAGATAGTGAGATCGATTGGGCATGGGCAGTGGGATCAGTAGTGAAATCGATGGTGATATTGACAGTGAGATCGATTGCAAGATCGGTAGTGAGATAGATAGCGCGAACAATATATCGCTAGTGAGATCGATAATGGCGTCGATACTGATATCGATAGTGAGCTCGATAATGAGAGCGACCGTGATGTCGATCGTGAGCTCGATTGTGAGATCGATGATCTGATAGATGGTCACATCAATAGTGTGATTGATCGTGACACCGATAGTGATGACGATCGTGAGATCGACAATGAGATCGGTAGTGAGATCGAATATGATATTGATTCAGTGAGATGTATGGTGAGAACGATCGTAACATCGATCACGAGATCGACCCGGAACTCAGGAACCCGGGAACCAAAAACTTGAAAGCTGGAACCCTGCCCCCTCCAGAATCAGTCTGGAACCAGCAACTGGTGAGATGGATGGTGAGATCGATGATGAGATCGATCGTGAGATCGACCAAGGAACCGGGAACCCGGGAACCCGAAACTGGAACCCCGGGAACCTCGCCGCCCACCGAAATCGGCCCGGAACCAACAACGGGGACCCGGGAACCCGGAACCGGGAACCCGGAATTGGGAACACGGGAACCCAGCCGCCTACCCGTATCGGACGGGAACTTTCGACAAATCTTCAACCTCTGCTAGGACCTCTTCAGTGCAAGCACTGACTAAGGGAAAACGAGAGGGGGATGTGAAGGAAGGAGGGCGGAGAAGGCATGAGGAAGGATGAAGGTGCGAGGAGGAGGGAGGAGCGAGGAAGGGAGGGAGAATGGAGATGGACGGAGGGAGGCAGAGGGCGGAGGGAGGGATGCGGGAGGACGGGGGATGAGCGAGGGAGCCCAACCGACTTATGGGGCTCGAGAATCGACGTGTCCTGACGGCTCGTCTGTCGTTGCCATGTCTGGGCCTCTGGGGACGCCTCTGGAGGCCTCTGGGGCCCCCCTGGGACCTCCGGCGTTCTCCCCGGAGGAGGAGGAGGAGGAGGAGGAGGAGGAGGCGGCGGAGGAGGAGGAGGAGGAAGAGGAGGAGGAGGAGGAGGAGGAGGAGGAGGAGGAGGAGGGAGGAGGAGGAGGAGGAGGAGGAGGAGGAGGAGGAAGGAGGAGGAGGAGAGGAGCAGGACGTCCCCCTCTCCGAGTCCCGCGGGCTCGCGGCGCCCCACGCCTGGAGCCGTCATCTCCGCGAAGATGTTCTCGGCCGCGGGAACATCCTCAGCGGCTCTGCGCGCCCAGCCCTTCCACCCCCTCCTCCTCCTCCTCCTCCTCCTCCTCCTCCTCCTCCTCCTCCTCCTCCTCCGCCCCGCCCTCCGCAGCGCCCTCTTCTCCTCGTGCTCACCCGTGTGGTCCTGCTGCCCGTGGGCATCCTCGTCCTCGACCTCCGCCCCGGCCTCCGCCTCTTCCTCCCGCTCCCTCTCACCCTCGGCCTCCTTTTCCGCCACGCCTCCTCCTCCTCCTCCTCCTCCTCCTCCTCCTCCTCCTCCTCCTGCTCCTGCTCCTGCTCCTGCTCCTCCTCCTCCTCCTTTTCTTGCGTTGCGCAGACCCTGAGCGGGGCTCGAAGCGTCGTGCAACGTGACTCTTACGGGTAAAAAAACAACCCCTCATGCAATCACGCGATCCCCCTCGGTGCGGGAGGCACTTGCTTGGAGGGAAGGGTGCCGAGCCCGCGCTCGTGTTGCTGCTTCTGCCGTCGCCGCCGCCGCCGCCGGCAGGCCTGATGGGGTCAGCGTCAGCGCGGGCGGGCAGGAGGGGCAGGCTCAGCAGCTGCAGCAGTAGCAGAGTGTGCGGGTAGAGTGATCGCATTGAGCACGACTGGCGCGGATTTCTCGGACCGGAGCGCGCCAGGGGCGGCGCCGGAGGCGCCACCAGGGGGCCCCAGCGCGGATCCAGTTTCTATCTTTATGTTGTTCTTCGTTTCCCTTCCCCCTTGCCAGCCCCCCACCCGGGCAGCAGCATCTTCATGTCAGGCTTTATGCAGCTGCAGCAGCAGCAGAGTGTGCGGGCAGAGTGATCGCATTGAGCACGACTGGTGCTTCTCAGGGCTTTCCCAGGGTGTTTCTCCTCCTCCGCTCGCGGCGCCCGCGCAGACGGCAGTAGCGCCCCCGTGGACGGGGGGCCCGCGACGGGGGGCGCGACGGAGGCGCCCAGCGCCCGCTCGAGGCCTTCGGGCCCCCTCGGCGCGGCGCCGACGACGGCGACGGCCCCGACGCCACACGTCCAGAGAAGCAGCACCTGCGAGGCGGGTATTTATCCAGACCCACCGCCTGAGAACAAAGCGTCCTGGTGCCCCAGCGGGGCCCAGATATGGATAAAGTTCGGCCCCTGGGGGCCCGAACACAATATGTCCATGTCCACCGCCTGCCGAGGCTCCGAGAACTGAGCCTCCAGGCGGCGGTCATGCATGAATCCCCGCCTCGGAAACATCTGTTGGAGGTCCTCGAGGATTTCTTGGATCTGCGCTGAACCCGCTCCCTGGCGCGCGGGGCGCGCCAGGGGCGGCGCCAGAGGCGCCGCCGGAGGGTTCCAGCGCAGATCCAAGAAGTCCGCAAAGGGCATCGAGCATTTATGCTTGCGTTGTTGCTTCTTCTTCTTCTTCTTCTTCGATCGGAAGCGGCGGCGTCGTCGTCGTCGTCATCGTGGTCGTCGTCGTCGACGCCTTTGTCGTCGGTGTCGTCATCACTCCACTGTGTGAATGCGGGCGCTCTCATCTTCCGCTCCCAGCCCTTTGATTCCCCTCTCTCCTTGTGGTGGGAATCGGCGGGAGGGATTGAAGCAGAATGCTGGCAGACAAATAGACACGGGAAGTGCCCGGCTCGACAAGCACCATGCCAACAATGGCCCTGCAGCCGCTGAGCGGGCGCGCGGTGCACTTGATGCACACGTCGATCACCTTGCTGGCCGACGGGGGCGCGATATTCTTGTGGCACTCAACACTTCGAGAAAAAATGCAAACGAACATGTACAACGCCAACACAAACGAGTGTAGCCGTGATGTGAAGACACCTTGCATCCCTTGAAGACGAAGACGCCCAACGGGTGAAGCAAGAGGGAACAGGAACGCACAGATGGAAAACTGCAGCAACGACGGACGCATGACGTAGGACGACAAAGAAATGCGAAGCGAGCACGCGAAAACGGAAGGATGAAGACGGCGGTGTTGAAGCGGCCAAGGATGGAGGAGAGGGTGCGAAGGTGCAAAGGTGCAGGGGGCCCGAACCAGCGGAGCGGCTCGCGTCGATATTGATAGTGCTGTCGGATAGTACTACTCGACTTGGGGTCCCTCGGATCTGACATCGAGGCTCAGAGCGTACAGAACTAAGCCCTCACATGGAGGCTGGAACTTGAAACACGGCACTCTCAGCCAGGATGTGGTCATCTCAACTTGTTATTGACAACTCTGCCTTATCTGTGGTCTTAACCGAACACGGGATTTCGGATCGTTATACCAAACGGCCCTCCACAATATCATGTTCGAACAACACGTTGCCGTCATAACCTCAAACGTTGACAACTGGCCGCCTCAAGACTTGACAACCGCACTCAGAACGTCGGCGGTTGGCACTGTACATGCTAGTGTCTCTTCCAGCCTGGATGCTCGAATCACATAGGTAGCCTTTCAGACGTCACTTCGATGCCGCGTCGACGCTTTCCAAGTGTGATAATCGACTGAACCAACAAATATAGAATTGACCGTTTGACGCTCTTGAGTGTTGTAATCCACCACCGCGCTTGACATGTGTCGGGCGCTTGATTGGTTGGTTGGTTTCGCCCGCTGCGGAGCATAGTATGATATAGTTCAGCGCCCCCCCCCCCGACGCATCGAGACCAGCATGTGCTCATGTTTTGGGACCACGTGTATGCGCTTCTGGCCGCAACCAGAATTCAAGGTGCTGGGTTCCATGCACCACCCCCGTTTCCATGCACCCCCCCATCCCAGCCCCCCACCCGGGCTCCTCCACGTCTCCCCCAGGCGCCTCCAAAGCGTGGTGGCGGATGCGCGTGGCAACAGAGCTTGATAGTGCCACTTCGTCCAGACGAGCTGGAAAGACTGAATGATTGGAACCGTTGTCATGCTAGACGCATGGGCTTTCCCGATCTTGAACTTATGATTGGGAAATTGAATGGTTGCGCCAGAAACTGGACTCGTTGCTGCATCCCGAAATCACACAATTGGGGAATATGCTTCTGCATGTCGCTGAATTCCGCGAGTTCGACATTCCATCACGTTGCCCAACAACCCATGAAACGGCTTGCGGCGCCCTTATTCATGGTCGCGTTGTCCTGGATGAATTTGGGCATTCGCGTCAACAATATCACCTTCGTCCTGCCGTGCAGGGCGATGCTGGCGTCGTCACCAAGCAATCTCCGCTTCTCTGCAACGGGCGCCTGCTTGGCGTACTCAGAACCGTGGCTTCGCGCTGACGGCCCACACTAGAACGCCCCTACCCAACTTCACGTCCCACTGCCATCACCTTGCTCGTGTCTGTGAAGAGCGTCGCATCCTAGATACAAGGGGCACGCCCGTGCACGCCCGCTGTGCCGACGAGCCGCGGCGGCACGAAGTGGGATACCGCCGCTATCCAAGCGAGGGGCGGGCCGCCATCACCGTCCAGCGCGCCCTCAGTCATCACTCTGTCAAGGTCGCCGTGCTATCAGTCGGCCTATAGTCTCAAATTCCAGCTGCTGCTCCATCTTCCGCTCTGGGCTTATCTGCTTGTCGAGGGCTATCCTGCCAAGACGCCCAGTTGCATCGCACAGCAGCCTGGGCTACTTCTGGGAAGCTACCTTCACCTTGACAATGAGCCAGTGGACGACTCGCTCTGGTGCCTATGCTCCACCTGCAATGGGCTGAACCAGTGTGGCATGCAGCCCTCTCTCGTCTGCACGCTCTCCCACAAGGTGATGCTACCAGTGCCCGTCCAAAACGCGCCCGCATTCGCTTCGCGTCGGCCGCCCAGCTTGACCCAAAATGGCGACGGAGGAGGGGAGGGGGAAGAGCAAATGGCAAAATTTGGAGTCCTGAAACGGTGCGGTGACAGACCGTGCGGTGAGCTCGAAATTCCCCAAGATCTCACCGCACTGTCCGTCAACGCACGGTTTTGGGACCTCGGATGCCCCAGCCGCCCGAAACGTCCTCCGAGAACGGCCCGAGTCCCAAAACCGTGCGGTGACCCCAAATCTTTACCGACTCACCACACGGTGTGGCCACCACCCCGTTTGGGGACCCCGAGGACGAGGAGCTAGCATCCCCGGAGAGGGGGTGGCCAAGTCTTCCACGAGAGAAGCTCGGATAGATTCACCCCTGAAGGAGGAACACGCGTACAAGGCTCACGCGAGTCCGCCCACAGAAGGAGGACGGCCACAGGATTGGGGCCTGCCTTTTCTTCGTGGGGTCCTCGCATGCCTGCCTTGCTTTGGGGGCAGGTGCGTAGCAGACAATCGCTTCCGCAGATCAGGACCCTCCAGAGCCCCAGTGCGGAAAAATCAGAATCGCCGCTCTCTGGTGTTCGCCAACGGGAGTGCACTGAACGTGGGGTGAAGAAAGATGCACCGTTCGTGCACTTGCCGTCGCTCGGACGTCCATTTCCCGTGCATTTTTCGGTTTCGTGCGTTTTTTGTTTTGCTCGATGGTCCAGGATGGTCCTCGATGGCTCCCGCCGAGAAAAAAATGCACACGTCCGAACGATGCCGAGGTGGTGGCAGTTTAGGGGCCCTTTCGGACCCCACTGGGGCCACTTTCCTGCAGTCCTCGGTTCCCCCACGTCAAATTGCCCCCCGCCCCCGTGGCGGTCCGCCCGAGAACCACGGCTCTGGGTCCACACCTGACCTGGTGACCACACGGCCTGGCGAGTCAACCTGAGCGACCCGGGATGGGCGGACTGCTTCTTCAGGACCCCGTGCCGTACTCCGAGGGCGCCTCGAGGAGCCCCCCTGGGGCCTCGCCACTTGTTATGCCAAGCCGTCTGGCGACGTGGCAGACCGTCGAGTGAGGTATGCGGGCGTCGCTGCCATGGGACCATCTCGGCGACGAAAGGAAGCAGGTCTGACGCGAGATGACACAGCGCTGCGAGCTTCGCCACATTGCAAACGAGAGCGCTCACACGCGAGCTTACGCAGGCAACTTACGCGCTAACGTCGGCGCAATCGGCCCCGTTTTTTTTCTGCCGCTCGCCTGCAACTTGGGCAACCACGCGGACAAACGGGCAACCGGCCACCCGGCCAGCCAATCAACCAACCAACCGACCAACCAACCGGCCAACCAACCAGCAAACCAACCGACCAACTAACCAAGCAACCAGCCAGCCAGCCAACCAACTGACCAAACAATTCATCCACCAATGTTCCACGCCATCGCCTCGGAAGAAGCCCCAGAGAATCGTGAGCCAACCAGCCAGCCAGCCAGTCCTTCATTTTCATGTTTAGGAGGATGTCCCACGCGGTGGGGTCGTGAACATTTTTTATGGATCAGAAAATCCCTGTTGACCTTGAGCGAAGTATGTTTTTTGACCCTGAACAAGTTTTCGATCCTGCATCAGCCAACCAACCAACCCACCAACCAGCAAGTCCTGCAATGGGATTCGTTGGAGGATGTCCTGCACGGCGGGTCCTGGAAAGATTTGTTCTCGGGCCCTGAAAGAACAATGAACCTGATATGACATGTGCTTTTGATCCTTCTTCCCAATACACAGCCGTGACAAAAATTTCTTCAATTTGCTATGATGAAGATTTCTCCCATCCCTCTCAAGATTCCTAACATGACATGATGTTGGGATCATTCGGCGGAGTAGTTCCCGATCCCGGAGACGTTAATAACTATGTTACCCCAAAACGGGATCGGAAACTACTCCGCGCCAAACCATATAAATTACCGAGCGGGATGCGATTGCGCGCGGAGTAGTTTTAGTAGAACTACTCCGAACTACTCCGCACGAGCGCGTCATTCCACAATGCAACTTAAAAGAAGCTTTCGTCACGGCGATGTAACAGCCCACCGCTGCCGACATGGCTTCCGCCTCTCAGAGCACCAGGCGGGCGGCCACGAGGCGGCCACGCGGCGGCCACGCGCGGCGACGCAGAGAAACCTCGGCGGCCCCTATCCGACTCCGTCGTGGCAGAGGCAAGAGCCCTCAAGTGCAAGCAATGCTTGGGGAAGACACTCGCGGAAGTCCGCGCGGGTGCCCTGGACCCCCCTCCCCGCACCCGTTCCCAGGCGCACGGAGCGCGTCGGGGGTGGGGGGGGGGACGGCCGGGGCGCTCCCCAAGTTGCGGGGGGAGAGGGGTCAAGAGCGGACCGAAGCCATCCGCGCGGACCTCCGAACTGTCACCTGCTCAGGCGCCTGGCCCGAACTTGTTTCTGTTTTCGCGAGATGAACTGTCTGACGACAGGACTGTGGCTGCTGAGCCGTTCCATTGCCGCCGAGGGCGCAACCGATGGCGCAACCAACGACAGGCAGCCTGATTCTGTTCCGACGGGTGCGCAGTATGGCGCAACGAATAGCAGGCCGCTGTGCTCTCGGCCGCCGAATACGCAACCGATGGCGCAACAACTAGCAGGCCGCTGTACTCTCGGCCGCCGAGTGCGGAACCTATGGCGCAACCAAAACCAGACCATTCTATTCTCGGCCGCCGAGTGAGCAAGCGCAAGCTCTGGCACAATCAACGGTAGGCCGTTTTGTTCTCGGCCGCCGAGTGTGCAACTTTTTGAGCAACCCATGGATGGCGCAACCAATGGCGCAACCTACGGGTCGCGCAACCCATGGATTGCGCAACCAGTGGCGCCACCCACGGATGGCGTGACCAATGGCGCAATCCACGGACAGTGCGACCAACACCAACGGCGCACTGGCGCAACCCATGGATCGCGCAAGCCATTAATGGCGTAAGCCATGGCGCAATCCATGGATGACACAACTCATGGAGTGAGCATGGCGAGGCCCATGTGTGGCACAGCCCTTGCATGGCACAGTCCATGGCAAATGCAACCTGCGGCGAAACCCATGGATAGCGCAGTCCACGGCGCGCGTGGCACGCATCCCTGGCGCTTTCTGCGAGGCTGCACCCGTGTTTGTGCTCGCCGTGTGGGCTGGCGGCGGGCCTCAAGCGGCGGGCTGACTTGTGCTTCTGTCAGTGTTGTTCGGTCCTCTTTGGAGGCCGCGGGGCCAAACCCAACAGCCTCGAGGAACTCCTGGCCAAGGGCACCTCTGGCAACACTCGGACTCAAAGCAAAGGCGGCTGGGTCACGGAGTTGTACGTGATCCTGTTGTAGGGGACCCGCTCAGTCTTCATCTCGCGGAACAGCGTAAGCGCCTGCCGGAGGTCCTCGCCGGGCTCCCAGGGGGCTGGGGGCAAGGAGGCGTGTAAGCGGGAGGGAGCAAAGTGAGTTGGAGGACGAGGACACTTTTGGCGTTTAGTGGAATCGAGATCGGGCGAGGATCCCTGTCGGAGGGCCGCTTATGCCGCCCTTCCTGGGGGAACTCGAATCTTGCGTGTGCCTTCCAATATCTGGTGTGCTATGTTTACACCGGAGGGCCAGGCAAGTGAGACGGGTTTGGGCATGCTGGAGAGCGTTTTTTTTGAACTTTTAGCGATGACGGGCGTCACGGGGGGCGTGGGCGGGGGGGGTTATACGTAACGCCCCCCCCCCGCCGTGCGGCCCCGGCACCACAGCCGCGCCCGCGCGCACGACAACGATGAGCGACGAGCGACGACGACGACGACGACGACGACGACGACGCGAGCAGCATGTAGGTGGCGATCTGCCCCACAGCGCCTGTGTACACCACAATGCTCGCGTGCACCGCAGCGCGCGTGTACACCACACCGCCTGCGGACACCGCAACAGCCGTGTGCAACGCAGCGCCTGTGTACACCACAGTGCTTGCGTGCACCACGGCGCTGGTGTACACCACAGCGACTGTGCACACCGCAGCAATCGTTTGCAACACAGCGCCTGTGTACACCACAATGCTTGCATGCACCGCATCGCCTGGGCACACCACAGCGGCTGTCTACACCACAGCATCCGCATGCAACGCAGCGCTGGTGTACACCACAGTGCCTGTGTGCGCAAGACAGATAGAAGGAGCATGAAGGTGAGGATCTGCTGCGGACAGCTAAACGCCACGCCTGGGAATTGCTCATAATAGAATGCGATGTTCTTCCCTCCTCCCTCCTCCTCCTCCACCTCCTCCTCCCTCACCCTTCCAGCCTGTCGCGCACGTGCGCATCTCAGCGTGCACCGCATAATGGTTTATTGAATCAATCCACTTGGTTCTCGGACGGCCAACCTCCTCCTCCTCCTCCTTCTCCCTCCTCCTCGCTACAGAGCCCCCCCCCCAAGGAGCCGCGATCTCTCGACGGGATCTGCGTAACTACCGACTCCGCTGGACCTCCCAGGAGCCCACGAAAGTGGCGAGGTCTCGGCTGGATCTGCGTGCAACTCCATTCCGCGGGACCTCCTGTGAGCCCACGAAGTGGCAGCAGTAACACACTTCGTACCACCCCAGAGAAGCGCGAGGTCTCGGCTGGGTCTGCGAAGTTCCCCCACTCCACTGGGCCTCCCAGGAACCCTCCCAGTGGCGACAGTTGGTACGAGGAGGAGGCGGGAGGAGGGCAGGAGGCAGGAGGAAGGAGAGAGAGCAGAGGACAGGAGTCAGAAGAAGAGGGGGGAGGAGACGAGAGTGAGTGACGGAGACCAAAAGGCGAACCCAACACAGGAGGGTCGGGCAAAAGAAGCGAAGTCGGCACTGGCGCGTCGTCGCGCTCGCATGCCGCGTGTATCCGTCACCGAGCCTCGAGACCCGAAGCGAAGTTTTCTACAGGTCCTCATGTGCTCTCTGTTCTCTCTGCTCAGCGTTGGGGCATTCTTATATTCAGGGGGGCTGGGGCCCCAGATTCCATACTGTCCTTGGCGTCCCCGCGCGCTCTTGGGCTGCCCTGCATTGCATAACTTTTCCAGATGCCACAGGGCCCCACGACGGGCCAAGAGGGCCCCAAGAAGCGCCCAAGAGGCCTCCAACACAGCCCAAGAGCGCTCCAAGACGCCCAAGATGGCCCAGGAGGCCCCAAAGAAGCCCCAAGAGCGCTCCAAGAGGGCCCCCAACAGGGCCCAAAGAAACTCACACTGTGATTTTCACTGTGTTGTCGGGCTTCCGGCGCTTCGAGACAGCCCCAGGCGCCTACCAAACGGTCGCAAGATGGCCCAAGAGGCCCCCAAGAGGCCCCCAAGAGAGGCCCCCAAGAGGGGCCCCCAAGAGGGGCCCAAGATGGCCCAAGAGAGCTCCAAAACGGCCTCAGAAGCGCCCCAAGAGAGCCCCAAGACGGCCCCAAGAGGGGGAGCAGAAACGGACAATTCGAGCCCTCCGCCCCAAGAGGCCCCCAGGAGGCCCCAAGAGGCCTCGAAAAAGACCCAAGAGGCCCCCAACAGGTTCAAAAGACACTGGCCCACTGAGGCACCAAGAAACGCCCACGATGGCCCAAGACGATTTCAGCACGGCCCAGGAACGCTCCAAGACGCCCAGGATGGCCCCAAGACGGGCCACAATGCCCCCGAAAGGCCCTAAGAACGCCCCAAAAGGCCCCCCAAGAAGACCCCAAGAGCCCAACACATTGTTTTACTTCTGCGGCTTAAAAAGATTGTACGGCAATCGCTTGTTTCTGCAAGTCGACGCTCTACGATGGCCGCAGGGGCCCCACAAACCGCCCCAATACGGCCGCCGAGAAGTTTCCGACTTTATCCCAACGAGCACACAATACGTACAGATGTCAGAGTCGAATACTCCGAAAACATAGATTCAACCACCAGTGTTGCAACAGGCCATTTCAACACAAAACGGGCGCGCACCCCTGCGAATTGTTACGAAAACCTTCGGTAATTCAGCAGTTCCATAAAATGCGACCAACCCGGCTGGCCTCTCGCGCGCGCGGATGTCGAAATCATTCGGGCGCTCTTGCGCGCTTGGTGGGTGGGGGGCACGGTCCCTGCCAAAGAACACCATGCGGACCACTCGCGCATGTCGGCCGCGCGCGCACGCCGAAACTTTTTACAAATTCTCATCGCCGACGCGTGAACACCACCATCTGCACCGGCGTGATCAGCATCGGCGCCATCATTGGCCTCGCCGTCATCATCGCCATCGCCGTCGCCAGCATCGTTGCTATCATCATCGTGTCTGCCGTCGCCGACGTCGCCATGATACCGCGCTCGCCTGAACCACCGACTCACACTGAAGCGCACGCGCGTCAGCGCGGCCTGCGAAACGCACTGGGAAATCCCGCGCGGCAGCGCCACCGCGGCCGCGCCGGTCGCGCCGGACTACCTGGCCGTTCTGAGAGCGAGCCTGCGCAACGCCGATCAATCATCGCATTTGCCGCCGCACGGGTTTTGCAAACTAGATTGCAGATAGTGGGTGGGGCGATTGCGCGAGCAGGGTTTGGAGACTTACTGGCAAGCACTAATTAGTTGCACCTCGCAGACGGCAACACGTATATTCTCCTCTCTAAAACAGTTAGGACCCCCCTGGCTTTATCAACACACGCTTCCGTCTTTCAATGTACACATGGTTACGGCCCATCGTCCATCCTAAATATGAATCCATCGCAGCCCAGCCGGGTCAGTATCGCCCCCCCGTCATCCTCTGAAAAACAATACTATGCGCGCGCACTCGTTTATGAAGAATCATCAATTTTCAAGAATCCCTTCTGCAAAAAATGGCACGAACTGCACACGCGCGCGTCGTCGTCGCGCGCGCAAGCCGGATCCTTGAAAAACCTCCGGATTGGAAGGATGTCAAAATCGAGTTTCAAAAAAAAGGACATATAAGACCACATGGTTTCGCAGCGCGGATTTTTAATGAAAAAGGGCGCGCTCTCGCGAATTCGAAGAAACCACCGTTTCCTCACCATTTTCGAAAACAGTGCTACCAAACGGACTTCGCGCGAGCATATCGAAATCGTTCGAACGCCTTTGCGCGCGCGCCGTCGCGAGAACCCTTTGCAAACAACGGGGCGAAGTGCGCGCGCGTCGTCGCGCGCGCGTGCCGGAATCCTTAAAACAACCATCGGTTTCGTAGCGATTCTACCGTCGAGTGTCCAAACAACATTCAAAAACACAAGGTTTCGCAACGTCAGTTTCCTGAAAAAGCTCGCGCGCGCGCTCTAGTCCATCATCGCCGACGCGAGGGCGCCGTAATCGTCGTCGTCGGGATCGGCATCCGCGCCCGCGCTGGCCGCGCATTCGTCGGCGCGAACATCGTCGCCCACATCGCCGATATCATCGTCGCGCCCATCGCAGTAAGCGCTGCCGCGACGCCGCGCCCGCCCGCGTCGCCGACTCGCCGCGAAGTGCCCGCTGGGGCGCGCCCAGCGGTCAGAGCCGCCGCGGCCGCGTCGGTGGCGCCAAACTACTAGCCGGCCGCTGCGCGCGTGCGCCAGGGTTGGCGCGGCCGCAGAGATGCACCAGCCAACGCCAAGCGCATCGCAATCGCCGTCGCGTGGTAGAAATCCTTTGCGCCACATAGATTGCACCGCGCATGCTGCGCAGCGCAGACTCTCCTTGTTAAATGGATCAAACCAACCCCGCTGTGCTCATTGCAATTGAAAGACGATTCTGCCCCATCGCCCGTCCGAATCATGAACTCACGTCGCCCCATCTAAACCGCCCCCCCCCCACCCCCGCCCCCCCACCCCCGCCCCCAGCGACAAATATTGCGCGCGCGCTCGTTCAACGAAAATCCTTTATTTTCAAAAACCCAGCGCAAAAGAAAAACGGGACGACGCGAGCGCGCGCGAGGTCGCACGCGAATGCAAGAACCCTTCCAAACGCGCGTGGCTTCGAAAAGGTTTCAAAATCGAGCGCCCCCCAAATGCGCAGCAACACATGGCTTCGCAGATAGAAATCTCAAAAAAGTGCGCGCCCCCACTCTCGCGAATTCCTTTTGACAACCGTGAGTTTCACATATTCTCACCAAAAATGCTACCATGCGATCCTGTCGCGCGCGCGCCGATATCGCCCGGGCGCCCCTGCGCGCGCGCGGTCACCTAAGTCCTTTTGGGGCAGGCAGAATTCACGCGCGCGCGTCGCCGCGCGCGCGTGCCAACAACCCGCGACTTTCGCCCGGATTTCAGGACCGAGCGCGCCGAAACCATCAAAACACGGTTTTGAAACATCACTTTACACCGAAACCCTGCGCTCGCGCTCTTGCGATTTCGCCGGAAGAAGCACATGTATTTCAACGCTTTCATTTAAGTTCTGCCAAACGGGCCTCTCGCGCAGCATGCCCCATTCATTCGAACGCCCCTGCGCGCGCGCGGGGAGGGCG